CCCCCCCCCCCCCCCCCCCCCCCCCCCCCCCCCCCCCCCCCCCCCCCCCCCCCCCCCCCCCCCCCCCCCCCCCCCGATTGCTGTACACAAAGCTTCGGGCGATCATTCGTCATCACTGTCCTCTTCCATAGCCACGTCCGAGTCGCTGTCCTCGTCGTCGCGTGTTCGCTTCTGCCCTCGTGCGTCGGTCTCGGCGTCCTTCATCTGCTGATCAGCCGGGGCCGCAGCTGGCTTCGCAGGCAGTCCGCTGCCAGTGCTGGCTGGCGCAGCCGCGCCGGGAGGTGGTGCATTGAAAATGCTCTGCTGCAGCTCCGTCTGCTCAACGTCGGCGGCGCCGGACATGTTGGGGATTTTGAACGTGCCGTCCAGTTTGCTGACGAAATCGGATTTGCTCTTGGCGTATTGAATCTTCTGTAGATAACGCGTCAGAATTGCTGCCCTGTGACCAAGACGTCATGTAATAGACTTACCATTGGCCGGCCGAGAAACTGCTGACCATCCAGTGATCGCATGGCCTGAGTAGCCGCCTGAACGTCTCTGAAGGTGACGTGTGCTTGACCGCGCATCTTCATCGTCATGAGCGCGACAACGTCGAGGACAGGACCGTATGTGGAGAAGAGCATATAGAGTGCAGTCCGCAAATCGGCTTTCTGTATCTTGTTCGATGGTAGATTGGTAATGTACAATCTGACTACTCTTAGCGAAGCGCAAAACCCGATGAGCAGTTGCACTTACGTCTGATTCGGTGGTATCGACTGGATCTTGGCTGGGAGGGAAGCATTTGGCGCAAGAGTGCGAGGTGGTGCCGCGGCCGCCATTGTGTGCTCAAACAATTTGAAAAGATGACTTGGGCTGGATTAGTCAAACCGTATAAGCAATACTTGAAGCAATTGTGACGAACAGGACTACTGAGGCTGGTGTAGGTTGGTGGCTGGTGCTGCAGATTTATTGCGTTCGGCTTGGTGTCGTTGATTTTTGCTGGATCCGACTCAGCAATTCGATGTGGTCCGAGCTTTGACTTTGAGCTGGAGCTTGCCCCACCATCCCGCAACAACCACCGTCGTCATCCTTCCATCCTCACCCTACCACGCTCCTCGCTTTCTCCTCCTCGCTTTCTCCTGACGCTCGCGGTAGTTGAGAGCTCCTCCTATCGCAGTAGACATCCGACAATATGGCCAACCCCGAGGTGCACCACTTGTTCCACAATCCCATTGCTGACCACTCGTTCTCGGCCGACCAGCAAACCCTCGTTGTCGCGCGTGACACCTCGGTCGAGCTCTACGGTCGCTCTGGAAACAGCTTCAAGCTGCAGGATGAATTGAAGGGCCACGACAAGACCGTGACCAGCGTCGACATTGCGCCCAGCACTGGACGCATTGTGACGTGCTCGCAAGATCGCAATGCCCTCGTCTGGGAACCTTCGCCGACCGGCTACAAGCCCACCCTCGTTCTGCTCCGCATCAGCCGCGCCGCTACCTTTGTTCGTTGGTCGCCCAACGAGTCCAAATTTGCAGTTGGCTCCGGCGACCGCCTCATCGCTGTCTGCTACTTCGAGGAGGAAAACGACTGGTGGGTGTCAAAGCACCTGAAGAAGCCTATCCGCAGCACCATTACCAGTGTCGACTGGCACCCTAACTCGGTGCTCCTTGCCGCTGGCTCTACGGATGCCCACGCACGTGTGTTCTCGAGCTACATCAAGGGCGTTGACCAGCGCCCAGAGCCTACTGTTTGGGGCGACCGGCTGCCTTTCAACACTGTCTGCGGCGAGTTCCTGAACAACTCGGCCGGATGGGTGCACTCTGTCGCTTTCTCGCCTAGCGGTGACAGCCTCGCCTTCGCGGCCCATGACAGCAGCATCACCGTTGTCTATCCCAGTGCGCCTGAGCAGCCTCCAAGGGCTGTGGTTTCCATCTCGACTCAACTGCTTCCCTTCAAGAGCTTGATCTGGCGATCCGAGGACGAGATTGTTGCTGCTGGGTACGACTGCGAAGCTTTCCGCTTCCAGGGCGGCGAGGGAGGCTGGCAGCTCGCTGGTGCCGTGGATACCAGGGGCCCATCGGCTGCTGGCGGCGAGCAGAGGGAGGAGTCCGCTTTGAAGATGTTCAAGCAGATGGATCTCAAGGGCAAGGGCAAGGACGACACTCAGCTCAAGACCGTCCACCAGAATACCATCACTATGATCCGCCCCTACCAATCCTCTGGCAGCGGTGTCGCCAAGTTCAGCTGTAAGTGACCTGTGGTCCGTCAATGTGCCGTTGAAATACTAACTTTGAGCAGCGAGCGGTGTAGATGGGCGTGTCGTTGTCTGGACCATCTAGACACGGGCGGCGAATAGAAAGCAGCATAGTTAGGTCAAAGAACGTCGTCCCGGACATTGTTTTGTAGATGTGTATATGTTTCAATGCAATTGACAGGCGGCTTTTCGTTACACTTCACCAAAGTACTTTGCCATACGCCAGGGCTGGGCAGAACTACTGATGGGCAGCTTGGAAGATAGGGGCTAACTTTCGGCATTGCTAATCAGACTGGTACGGAAGGCTGTGCGCGCGTGAGGCAGGTATTGATCAATGCCAATCAGATTTGCTTCTGGTGCTTAAGGCAGTGCGATAACCTCAATCTCAACGTCAACGTTCTTGGGAAGGGTCTTGACGGCAACGCAGCTGCGGGCAGGCTTGTGCGAGAACCACTTTTCATACTCGCCATTGACCTCCTGTGAGCGTTTGTCAGTCTCTATATCTTCTCGCAGGGTTCAGATAGACCAACGGCAAAGTGGGCCATGTCCGAGAGGAAGACGGTCGTCTTGACGACCTTGCCCATGGATGAGCCAGCAGCCTCAACGACAGCCTTGACGTTCTTGCAGCACTGCTCGGTCTTCTCTGCAATGGAACCCTCGATAAAGGTGCCGTCAGGCTTCAGGGGAATCTGGCCTGAGCAGTAGATAGTGGAAGGGGTCTTGATGGCTTGAGACTGCACACCCCGTCAGTAACGGATTGTTCGCGTTCACCTGTGGGCCTTAAACATACGTAGGGACCCAAGGCCGCGGGGGCGTCCTTGGTGAAGATGATCTGCTGGTCGGATGCCATTGTGGATTGATATTGAACACGTAGAGCTGGGAAACGTGTGAATGTACGAGCGCGATTGGAGGCCACGAGAAGAGCCCGAGTGGAGGACCGAAGGGTAGCGGGGGTGATCATACCTGTGAAAGTGCTTGGTCAGAGATGTCTTGATAGGATTGATGAAGTGTGCGAGTGACTGTACCGCCTTTCGAATTGAATGTTACTGGGACACAGGCTGCTCGGATGATGGACTAGAGCTCAGAGGGAGCTCCGGGCATCGGCGCTGCCCCGCCTGCCGTCATGGTTCGGAGGGGGAGGGGCGCCGAGCGCTCTGTCGATCGTCGGCGAACACAGTCCCTGTCCATTTGACAAGCTACCTATTACCCATGCAAATCTTCCTGGTCGACTAAAAGATTTCACTGGCTTGCCGATGATTGAGAGCTCAAGCTCACATGATGGGTCGTTGGTAGTGTGCGTGCTTAGCCCAGGAGACGCTAGGATTGGCAATACAGGGTAAGCACCAATTCCCTTGAATGGGGCGCGACGCAGACCCCTGGAAAAGGGTACGTACCTCCCCTACCTAAGCCCAAGAGATCTGTCCACGTCGCCAGCAACCGAAAAGGAGGCTCTCGTTAGCGCGTCAGCTTCCCACCCTTCAACGTCGTTGCTTGCGTTGGCTTTACTCTACTCCCTTCATCAACCCTTTCCTTTCTTTCTTGTACGCCTTTTTACTACCTGGGCAGTAGGCAGCCGAGCGCGGCCTGCGAGTAACGTGCGTTTTCTCCATCCTCTCTTGCTTCCAAGTCTTCTGGCAAGTGTCACGTATTACCCAACTTCGGAGCTCCTCGAAAGCTTCCACTCCAGCTGCCAACACCGAACCCATCATCAACTAGTCCATCGAAGTGCGTTTGCTGACTGACAGCGTACGAGTACAGTGTAGCTGCGTTTCTGAACATCATATAGCCCACAATGGCGCGCTCTTCGACGCCGCAGGGCAGCCTGCGCCAGAGGAACGTGGCCTCCACCAACAAGAAGGCGACCGATGTGGCTGCCGGAATCGAGACTGAGATGGACAAGCTGGCCAAAGCGTCCCAGCAGAGGGTGAAGACAGACAAGGAGCGCGATTATCAAATCGCCTTCGTCATCATCACCGTTCTCGCCTTTGTGACTCGATTCTGGGGTATCAGCCACCCCAACGAGGTCGTCTTCGACGAGGTTCACTTTGGCAAGGTTCGTTGTGCGCGCATTCATCAGGTTGCCTGAAGACTAATCAATCTGCAGTTTGCCTCTTACTATCTCGAGCGAACATACTTCTTCGATGTCCACCCTCCGTTTGCTAAGCTCCTATTTGCCTTCATGGGCTGGCTTGTCGGATACGACGGGCGGTTCCATTTTGACAACATTGGCGACTCTTATATCGATAACAAGGTGCCCTACGTCGCATACCGGGCATTGCCGGCTATTCTTGGAGCCCTGACTGTGTCTGTGAGCTACTTGATCATGTGGGAGTCTGGCTACAGCCTGCCCGCCTGCATTGTCGCTGCTGGTCTCGTCCTTCTCGACAACGCCCACATTGGCCAGACTCGCCTGATTCTCCTGGACGCGACCCTTGTCCTCGCCATGGTCTGCAGTCTTTTGTTCTATATCAAGTTCTACAAGCGACGCCACGAGCCCTTCAGCCGGAAGTGGTGGAAGTGGCTGATCTTGACTGGATTTGCTTTGTCCTGCGATATCTCGACAAAGTACGTTGGTCTGTTCGCCTTTGTCACGATTGGCGCTGCCGTCGTTATCGACCTCTGGGAGCTCCTCGACATCAAGCGTCCAGGAGGTGCTTTGAGCCTCCCAGAATTTGGCAAGCACTTTGCAGCGCGTGCCATTGGCCTCATTGTGTTGCCTTTCATGTTCTACCTCTTCTGGTTCCAGGTCCACTTCACGATCCTAAGCCGCTCCGGCCCTGGAGATGACTTTATGACCCCAGAGTTCCAGGAGACCCTCAGCGACAACATGATGCTTGCCAATGCTCTGGACATTCAGTACTGGGATGATATCACCATCAGACACAAAGAGACCAAAGCCTATTTGCACAGCCATGAGGACAAGTACCCGTTGCGCTACGACGATGGCCGTGTATCCAGCCAGGGACAGCAAGTTACTGGATATCCCTTCAACGATACGAACAACTACTGGCAGATCCTGCCCCTGGATAATGAGGAGAAGAAGGGCCGTAATGTCATGAACCACGACCTTGTGCGCCTCAGGCACGTTGCCACCGATACGATCCTGCTGTCCCACGACGTTGCTTCGCCTTCCTACCCCACCAACCAGGAATTTACCTGTGTTTCCCTGGAGGATGCCCTGGGCAAGCGCCAGAACGATACTGTCTTTGAAGTCCGAATCGAGCATGGCAAGAAGAAGACCAACTTCAAGTCCGTTGCTACCCATTTCAAGTTGATCCACAACCCGAGCAAGGTCGCCATGTGGACGCATACCAAACCTCTGCCGGAATGGGCCTATAAGCAGCAAGAAATCAACGGCAACAAGCAGATTGCTGCCAGCTCCAACGTGTGGTTTGTGGAGGATATCCCTTCCATTCCCGAGGGAGATGCAAGACGCAACAAGCCGGAGAAGAAGGTCAAGTCCATGCCCTTCCTTCGCAAGTGGTTTGAGCTGCAGAGGGCCATGTTCTACCACAACAGCAAGCTCACCAGCAGCCACCCGTACTCTAGCCACCCCTACCAGTGGCCATTCCTGCTCCGCGGCGTCAGCTTCTGGACCCAGAGCGAGACTCGCCAGCAAATCTACTTTCTGGGCAATCCTTTTGGTTGGTGGCTGGCCAGCAGTTTGTTGGCAGTTTACGCAGGTATCATTGCTGCTGATCAGGTGTCCCTGCGCCGTGGCGTTGACGCCTTGGACAAACGTAAGTTTTAACAGTTGGTGACGTGAGTAACATCTGCTAATCAGGTACAGGCACCCGCTCGAGGCTTTACAACTCTACGGGCTTCTTTTTCCTGGCGTGGGCTACTCATTACTTTCCCTTCTTCCTCATGGGTCGTCAACTCTTCTTGCATCATTACCTTCCAGCACATGTGGCCTCCTGCTTGGTGACTGGTGCCCTGGTCGAGTTCATCTTCAACACCGAGTCCGTGGACGAGGAGGCCGTCTACGGAAAGGGCAGTGGACCTAAGAAGCATGTCACTGCCCGTGAGCGGTACGGCGGTCAGAGCATGAAGAGTGCTTGGGCCGCTGCCCTGGTGATTCTGGCGGTTGCCATTGCGGGATGGTACTTTTTCCTTCCATTGACCTACGGCTACCCTGGCTTGTCCGTCGACCAGGTTAAGATGAGGAAATGGCTTGGCTATGACCTCCACTTTGCGAAATAAATTCAGTCACAATCGGAGACAATGTATGATATGGGTGGCAGTGGGGATCAAAGAAAAGTTTAGCATGATTGACCATGTCTTGGAGTCATGTCAGGGCTGCGGGATGTCGACAGATCTCATTACAAGTAGCGAGAGGCAGCTTATAGCAGGTAGGCGCGACTAATGATAACTTGTAAATTATGATGTCTACTATGCTGTCTGCCCCCTGGGGATCCTTTACGGTGCGTTCTCCAATCATGCCTGCTGATGGCGCGTAGAGTCCAAGGGGCAGAAACAAGGCCAATAACATCGGTCTACTCTTCTCATCTCGATTGACCTATGACTGGACACCAGGGTCGATATTCGCTGCTTCGTCTGTTGGCTCGGCACCAGGCCCATCTCGCGCCGCGTCAGGAGCAGCCTCGGGAACAGGCCTAGTATTATCTTGTTCAGATGCTCAGAAGGCCCACTCCTGGTCCACCATCAACTCTGCATGCACATCGTCAAGTTTCATAAGAGCTCTCTTCGGCATCAACGCCTTTTCCGGCTCATGTGCATCGTCAGCCTCGACGGCGTTGCGGAGTGTAGACTGGGGACGTGCCCGACGCTTGGCCACATACTGGTTCCAATGCCTCATTTGGCTGTCTTTGAAGTCGGCCTTGCACTCGACGACACGACGCAGCATGACATCGGATGGGCGGATTCGCTGCCCCTGGATGAAGCACCCGCGAAGCCTATTCAGTCCGTCACGGGGGTCGTCGTCCCGGACAATGGCCCTGAGCTTCTCACTCTCCCAGCATACTTCGTTAATGTGCTCCGCCAACATCTCGTTGTGAATACGATTTCTAGGGCTTCGGACGCGCATCTCACCAAAGTAGCCCTTGTGGAAAGGATCCTGGGTCCTGGCGGGCAGGGTTTGGTTGTACATGTGCTTGACAAGGATCCATGACTTGAGCAGAATGGCCTCTACGTGACGGGGCTCGCAGTCGGGGGGGAGACTGAGGCCCTTGCGGATCACCTCGAGACATTCCTGGCCGAGCTCCGAGTTGGGCGGGTATGGCGGCCCGTCAGCAGCCCCCGTAGATTCATCGTCCGCGGGTGGTGAGACGGCGCCTTGTTCGTCTTCGCCCCGGACTCTATCGCCCCAGCCTTCTTCATCGCTCCAGGCTCCCATTTGTGGGGCGTCGACTTTGAGTTCTTCCTGCCCTGAGAAGGCCTGTCGACGGGGGCGTCGTGTTTGCATGATCTGTTTGCGGTACTGACTGGCGAATTCCTCAAGGGACTCCGTTTCTGACTCGGGGCGCGCGCGTATATCATTATTGTTGTCACCATTGCCGCCGTCATCGAATACAGTGGAACGCCTGCGTGTGTTATCCTGCTGATCGCCATCAGAGTATCCGATGGCCTTGCCTTTCCCCTTAGCGTCGTTTTTGTGCGTAGGATGATCATCCTCGTCAAAGCAGGGGATCGTACTCCAGTCATCATCGACGTGTGTGTTGAGCTTGAGCGGGCCACGGCGAGCAGTAGACTTACCTTTGGATGTCAAGTCTTCGTCGTCAATGCCGGCGTTTACGTCCCAGCCCTCATCGACATCGGTGTAGAGGTTCCGGGGGCTAGCTTGGGGGATACTATCCGCAAAACGCAAGTCTCTGCTCCGTTTCAGGAACTCCTTCCCTGTCTTAAAGTCGATGCCAAGACCCTTGTTGAAGAGGTTTCTACCGCCGCCTTGATATTCTGCGTTGAACGGATGGCGGCGTGGGCTGCTGAAAGGTCTGGGCCGTGAAGGACCTGCCTCGGTGCTCTCCTCTACAGTCCGAGGTGGTCGACGGCTGACCTGTCGCGTAAGCTTTGGCGCTGATGCGACGGGTCGATGCTCTAAATGCTGCTGGTCAGTCGAGCTTCTTGCTGAAGACAATGAGGCAGACTCGGACTTCCGAGCCATGTGCGTCTCTGGTCCGGCCATTCTGGAAGACGTGGAGAGCTCTGGACTGGCAGGCTCTCTGAGGGTGAGAGCTGTGGTGGAGCGATTCTTAAACATCCGGAGCCAGGGTGATAAATCGCTAGGGGGAGTCGACCTGCTGGAGCGCCGGGAACGTGGGAGACTCAGGGCCTTCTTGGAGGGAGACAAGTCCGTTGAGAGCTGGTTCAGTTGAGAATTCAGATGCGCAGTATTATGTTCACGGGTATCCCTACCACGCCATAGTTCCCCACTCGCTCGTCCTCCGGGTTCTCGGCGAGGCGATTCAGGCGGTTGGGGACACTCCCTTGCACTGTCTGATGTACCGGAATTGGCCGTTGGGGACTTGCGCCTCTTGGCTTTGAGGAGGTTCCAATATGGCATACCGGCAGTGCAGCCGTATGATCGACACAAGAAGACGTACCTTGCTGGAATGAAAGTGCTATGGGATTAGCAGCTGTGGTATGCGTTTCGCTGTAAATAATCTCAGATGGTTTGTAGGATCATGGAGAAAGGCCAAGAAAACGACGAATGCATCGGGCCGTATAAATGTCTATCTATCAGTCTTCCAAGGCTGTGATTGAGGTCTGGTATTAACTAGTGTTCCTGCGTGTTTGTGTTGGTGGTGGTGTTGCCAGGCGTCGTTGCGAGAGTTCCCTACCCCTGAACAAAGGGGAGACCAGAACAAAGCAACGTCGTACCAGGTACGTCCCGTCCCGTCCCGTCCCGTGCCGATGTACGCACTAATTCTGGAACAAGTGAAATGTTTTGTACATGTTGGTTCATTTCGTATCTGGTGGTTCCCGCCTCCAGAATGCACCTTTGAGATACTTGTTCTCCTCGAGAGCGCTTGTTCCCTCATGTTGTTCTGGTACCCCTTCATGCGGCCACTGATTTTCAGTGAGGGCCCTGTCCAATGTGAAAGACTGTTACCTGGATAGAAAGGGTGACTGCCCCCCCTAGACGTGATTCTATAGCCTGTATGGTACGTGTAGGAACACGAACAGACGGGTTACAATGCGGAACTCCCCATTGACCCCCGTCGCCAGTGTCGTGGACTCGCTCTCGTCGCGTTCATCGCCCCAAGATAGAGCGGCACTTTTCGTAACATCCACAAGCCCGCTGGCGAGCAGCTAAGCACGAAGGTGGCAGGAATCCACAATCTTCTTGGCCGTTGGACGCAGACAGAGCCGTATAGTGGGCCAGCTGCAATGGGAACTGAGTCCCCCATCGATGAGTTACTCGCCGGCTGGATGGACCGATCGAATGCGTGAGGACATGTGTCTTTTTCTTCCTTTTCTTTTTTTCTTTTCATGATCACTCCAGACTCCTCCGCGATTTTGACCTCGCGTCCACGCTCCCATCCGTGTCCTCCTCTACCTCGACAGTGTACGTGTACTGTGCCCGTATCCCCTTGACGCTCTCCTTCCGGAGCAGATCTCTCTTGTCAGAGTCCCCATCGTTCAGCCTCTCCCACTTCTCGCCTTGGGTGCGTCCCTTGACGGTCGTCAGGCTAATGCCCTTATCCGTCGGGTTGTGGAAGGCGCTCCGCGAGGGCTTGGACCCGCGACCCTGGTGCTTCGACGAGGCACCGCCACTGCCGCCGCCGCCGCCACCAAAGGTGATGATGTCGTCGGTGTTGGGCTGGCAGCTGTTCTCTGTGGGATCCGTGCCGTTGTTGCGGAGACGTCGAACGAAGCGGCGCACCGAGGGGAACGAGGAGGCGATGATACCGATGCTGCTTTCGATAATGGAGCAGAAGACAATCATGGCGCACCAGTCTGCGAAGCGTGTTAGCATAGATGCCCTCGTGAAAGAGTCTCGAGGGGGGAGGTAAACTCACAGTGCCTGTCCTTGAGGCCGCCGTACTTCTGCACGTACGGGATGCGGACGACGGTGATGAGCGAGGCCAGCGAGGCAAAGGACATGAGACCCATGACCTGCAGCTTGGCCTGCATCTTCATCTGCGTCTTCCAGAGCAGCATGCCCGGCACGACGACGAGCGCCGCGTCCGTCACAATGGTGCACACAGTGGCAATGTACCCGAGCACGATGAAGATGACGGTGGGCGCGCACCATGCGTCGCCCTGGGCGACGAGGTACGGCCTCCAGTGCGCCTCAAAGGGGATGCACTGGACCGCTGTGCCGACGAACGCTGCGATGAAAGAGACAAGGGTGATGGCCAGGAGGACCCAGACGACAATGCGGAGCGAGCGTTTGGCCTCGGCGATGCGGCGCAGGGTGATGCAGATGGACGCCTTGATCAGGGTCATGGCGAGCGAGTAGGCAAGCAGCCAGACCGTGTGTATCTTCATCGACTCCTCGAAGCGCCATTGATTGAGATGCACATCACGCGTGCCGATGCCTGTCAGTTGGCCTGCGATACCTACACTGACGGAAGCGACGTGTGAAATCTGTGGTGGCGGTGGTTGTCAGCCGGAATGTCATTTCGGCATGTAGTTCATGCATCGATCGAACTGGCCGTCCCAACCCCGGTTTCTAGGAGAGCCGATCGAGAACCCAAGGGTAGAGAGATCCTTGGTTCATAGAAGGAGAGTGAAGGGGAGGAGAGCACTCACAGTACCGGCAACCATGAGGCCATCATCCCAGCCAAAGACCCGGTCTTGCCTGCGGACATGGCTCCGTATGGCCGTAAAGAGGAGCGAGAAGAAGAGGAAGATGCTCGAGGTCGTGATGATGCCGAGCGGGAGGCCAACGGGCGTGATGATACCAAGACGAGGGTCGAGGTCGTCGTTCCACGTGCCGCTCATGATGGAGCACCTTGGCGAATGTGTAAGGGGAGCAGAAGGAGAAGAATCACTTCTTTCGCAAACGAGCCATGAGGGAGAGAGATCCTGGATAATTAGAGTTGTCGGGATAGGTTACTGCATCGACTGATGGCAATGTACATATCCCGTACGTTATTCCCGCTTCCCCGAATCCATCCCGCCTGAAGGCATGGGATCCTTGGGATGGGCATCGCTGTCGACGCCAGGGGGCTGCCAGCCTGGCACACTCCAACCGTCAAAATTTGAACAGTACGGAGTAGCAGGGGGGGGCGATAGATTGCACGCATGCAGGTGACCACCGCACCCCCGTGCGTCCCCAGGGGGTTTATCCATGTCTTCATGTTGCCGAGGCTCTGGGTACGATAGTTCGTTGCAGAGCCAGCCTTATTCGCCTTGTCGGAGAGGCATGTTGACCACAAGTTGACAGTAGTGACCCCAAGATCAATCTACACGTAGTGAGTTTGTGGCTTCGGGGAATCGGGGAGTTGGGGAGTCGCGGCGGCGGATACCATCCGAGTAGCGGCCCACACGCACCTCGGCCGCCCTAGATTAGTTCTCGAGGCTTGGCCGGCCCCTTGGGCCTTGGATGGCTCCCCTTGTCTTGTCGCGTCGGCGTCTGGGCCAGAGGAAGGAAGCGGAACCACCGGATTGAAGGTTCGGGAAGGGATCGAGCCGTTCGCCAGCCTGCAGGGGGGTAAGGACAGTATCATGAGACGAAACGGGGCATAGTACGGATTGATCTTCGGGGGCGCGCTTTACTTGATTCTAGTCCTAGTTCTGTACGACATGCGCCTACTTTACTCAACGAGCACCTTGACGCCGCGGCTCCCGCTCTTCGCCATGGGCACAAACATGTCGTGGTCGTACGCAATGTCCTCCTGTGTTGTGTCGACGAGTCGCATGTGCGGCATCACCCGCAATGCCAGAGCCGCGAGGGCCAGGTGCAGCTCGCAAAGCGCCAGGCTGTTCCAGCGGTGTTAGTACCAATTCAATCTTTACCAGACGTGTACTCACTTCTTGCCCAGACACGCGCGGCTGCCCTTGGAAAAGGCCATCATGCCATGCGCAACGTCCTTTCTGAACTCATTCTTCTCGTCCAGCCAGCGGTCGGGGATATACGAGTACGAGTCGGGGAAGATGCGCTCGTCATGGTGCGTGATCGCGGCAGACATGCCAATGGCGTAGCCTCGGGGGAGGACCAGCTCCATGGGCTTCTTGTTCCACTCGCCGCGGTAGACGAGGTCCTCCTCCGTCGGGGTCCGCGCCGAGCGGCTTGACACACCGTATGACAGCCGCAGCCCTTCTTGGATGACAGCGCCCAGGTACGGCAGCTTCTCGAGGACGGTCCACGCGGGCAGGTGACGGGGGTCCTCCACCACCGTCAACAGCTCGGCGCGCAGCCTGTCCAGGATCGCAGGCTGCGAGAGGAGGTGGAACGTGATCACAGCCAACGCCCAGCTCGTCGTCTCGGTGCCGGCACCCACCACAGCGACAGCCTCGTCCGCCAGGCGCTCGGGATTCTTCTCGCTCTCGTCAAGCTCCGACTGCAGGAGATCCCCAAAGACCGTGGGCCGGTCGTAGCTGATGCCAGCGTCCAGGTCGTGCTTGGTCTTGTACACGCGCGAAGGAATGTCGATCTGCAGGGTGCGGATGAGCAGAGCGGCGTCCGGGGGCAGGTATGGCACGAGATGCTTGCCCATCCGGGAGGTGGCGATCAGAAAGGGGAAGAACCGGAAGATGAAGACGGGCTTGAGGACGGCCAGCGTCGCCTCTCGAAAGTTGGGCGTCCACGCGTCGCGCGAGAGCAGACCGAGGGGCTCGCCAAAGCTGTAGCTAAAGATGGCATCCGAGGTGAAGCAGCTGTAGGCGTGCGCAATGTCAAACGGCTCCTTCTTCTTGCCGTCGCCCTCGGTGGCCTTGGACCCTTCGGCGAGTAGCTTGTCGCACAGCTTCTGGACCAGATCGTGGATATCGCCCTCGAGGCGTGCGATCATGGCACGCGAGAAGAACCTGGCCACGGGCACGCGGCGTGAGCGGTGCAGGTCGTGGTCTGGCGTGCCAAAGCCATTGGTCGTGCCGACGGCAGAGCCGTTGATCTGGTGGATTGGCTTGTCGCGTTTGCGACCGCCAATGGCATAAATCTCGTCGGCAAAGGCCATGTCGGCACAGTGCGTCTCATGGGGATTGATGCGCACAATGGGGCCTTGGTAGGCAATACAGGTCAGCCTATTGGGCCACATGCCACGCGGAAATTCATGATGACTGCATGTTAGACCTACCATACTTGTCGTGCATCTTCTTGATCTCATGAGTGTACCGGCCGGTCAGTAACACATCATGGTAGAATTCGGGCCAGTACGTGGCCGCCGCGAGCTTGGGACCAGGCACCTTGCTCAGAGGATGAAGAGGGGAGATGTTGTACAGCGCCTGGAGGATCTTGAAGACGAGCCATCCGGCGCAGGAGAGGAGGAGGACACGGCCCAGACTGAGATACGGCGCAACGGCCTCGTACGGTGACTGTGCCATGGCAGCAATAAGCAGTCAGAGTCTCGCGGTGTGATAATCACAAGCCAGCAGGAGTGGAAGTGAAATCACAAAAGGACTTTCTGATTATTTTCGTGCCCCTCATCATCGTGTCTGTCGGACTCGGCTCCAGCTGGCCCAGGAGGTCCTTGCTCGAGTCTGCAAGCCAATGTCTGCATGGCGACTCCACGCATGTGAGTTAGCGGTGGTGGATGAAGATGCAATGCAGGCAGGGGCTTTGCTCGGCTACGGGTGGCCAGGGCTCCAGAACTCCAGTGCAGCTTGTGCAGGCAGCGGACGTCGGCAGATAGGTAATTAAGCGAGGCACCTGAGAGGCTGACAATGAGGTTTTTCACACACCGTACGTAGCAAGCCAGGATGCCCAGAGGGTTGACGGAAGCTACCCATCTGAGTGCCTGCGTCTGCCTCGGTTCCTGCGCGAGCCTGCAAGGACTCCTGGACCTTTGCACGATGATACACGCAAGCTCAAAGTCGATGACTTGCCTGCGAACGGTATTTTAGAGTGAGGGACCCCGGCCGATGCCGCGCGTTGGATACCTTGGTGGGCAGGCCCCGGGCCCCTGATAGCCAGGGTTCCATTTTCTTCCTAGGGGCCGGGGTTGGCGCGCTGTTGCGTGGAGAGGAACCCAACCCGGCGTCCGCTGAGGTGCCGCCCTGATTTCTCCATTGGCGAGTTTCAGTCCCACGCGATGGAATGGTTGAACTTGGGCGGTTACCTTATCAATTAGGCGATGGACCGAGCAGGGACTTTTGCTGAGTAATGGCCCGACTCTGACTTGCGCGCGCATGTGTCAGAGCCGCAGAGGGACTGTCTGGCTGTTCGCTCAGCCTCAGCCACAGGTGGCTTGCCACGTTCTGCAGCCTATGGTACCTGGTAAGATTTGGCAGCACCTGGACAATATTCGCATGCCAAAGCACTAGACGAAGAGGGCATTCGTTGTCCATAGGTACCTCTGCTTCAGCTCCAAACAAACAACCATGTCTTTCCCTCTCGAGTGACCGGCCATCGCCAGTCCAAGGTGAGGCCTTGAAGCTGTGACATGAGGGAACTGGCCGCCGTCGTCCCCTCCATGTGGCCTGATCAAGCCTACCTACCCTATGCTGCGCACATCGATGGCGTCCTCCCCCGCCCCCTGCCCCAACGTCACTGAGCCGAGCCTCAATTGAGTCGGGCCGTTCCTGGCAGAAGGCATACCTGTCCTCCCAGCGAAACAGTGCCAACATCTTCTCCTGCTCGTTCGGCAATCCCAGCGCCATACCGAGTCCGATCGCGCGACAACGCGACATCTGTACAGAGGCTTCCCCGAGCCCACAGCGCCCACAATGGCGCCCTTCCCCATCGCGAGAACCGCACTCGACTACCCCATCTGTGCCCTCGATTTCGACCCCCAGGATGCCAATCGTATCATAGTCGGCGGCGGCGGCGGACCGCGCAAGGACGTGCCCAACAAGATTGTACGTGCCCTGACATTCCTCGGCCCGTTTGCGCCAGTAGCAGGAACTGACCCGTCTCCTCCATCAGACAGTCCTCGAGACAACCAGCCAGGACGAGATCCAGATATCCGGCGAACTCAAGCTCGACCGCGAAGAAGACAATGTCGCTTCGCTCGCCGTCGGCCCGCGCAAGGGCAAATCCACCTGTGTCTACGCAAACGTCAACTCGAGCCCCAAGGCTATCGCCGAGGGCAAGAACCAGCACCTGCGTGCCTTTTCCGTCGAGCAGGCCAAGGCCCGTGTGTCGGCCGGGAACAAGGCGGCTGTCGTGGCTGTGACGGAATCCTCGCGGACGCCACTCCTCGGTGACACCGATAAAGACACGTATCAGCCGGCAGTGCGCGTGGCAGGCGGCCTTGGTGTGACGGCGTCGGCGCTTGGCAAGCTCAACGAGCTGGCCATCTTTGACGCGGCCGGCTTGAACCCCACGCTCAAGGCGCTCCTGGAGCTGCCGAGCCAGGCGGAAGACTTGGACATTATACAGGTCAGCGACACGCAGTACAAGGTGGCCTTTTGCTACCGGCATCAGCTCCACATCGTCAACGTCGGCAAGGAGAATAGTGATCCCCAGCTGGCCTACCAGATGCGCGAGGAGAACGACGTCCTGCCCGAGTTCCGCTTCATACGCTTCCTAACGCCCGACTTTATCCTCGCCGTCTCTAACCTGCCCAAGTTCAGCGGCATCGTGCTGCAGGGCTTTCGTCTCCCCGGGCCCGGACAAGAGTCGGCACGTCTCGCCGTCTCGGCCATGATCCCGAGAAAGGTCAAGACGCTCTCTTTAGCCGTCACAAACCTCAGTCCTCCCACTTCGCCCGACGCCGCCGTCTCGGAGACGCAGTTTGTCATCGCCGTCACCGGCAGCGACTCGTCCGTCTCCCTCTTCACCGTCGACCTCATTAGCGAGGGGGATTTCAAGCTGCTGCGCCAGCTGCTCCCCTTTTACACGCTACAGAACGCGCACAACGGCGGCCAGATCACCCGCCTCGCCTTCTCCACCTTTGTCACGCCAAAGACGCACCTAAGGCCGCAGTTTATCAAACTCGCCAGCACGTCTGTCCAGTTTAAGGTGGAGGTCTACAGCATCCCCTTGAAGCGCTATATTGACACGGCGAAACGTAATAAGAACGGCCCGCCGCGTGCCACGCGGTACGTCGTTGGAATGAAGCCGCAGCACGCGAGCCCCAAGCCCCTCATCATCACGCTGACACTAATGATCCTGGCCATGGCTGTGGTCTGGCAAGGGTTCATGGAGATGTACGGAAACGCGAAGCCCATCTTGCACATCCACAAGGTTCTGCCCTCGTGGCACGGGACGCTTCGATCGGCGGAACACCAGCCCCCCGTGCTGATGCAGGAGGACCAGGCAGCGCTCATGGAGACGGGTGATTCTGTTGCATATGATGGGACAAAGGAGTCGTCGGTTGTTTCGGAGGATATCGTGGTCGAGGAAGCTGTTCTCGTTGGCGAGCCCGAGGCTGAGCAGAGAGCCAAAGAGGAGTTGTAAGCCTCTTCTGTGTGTACGTATTACGATGCCAACGAAGCGAGCGTATAAGGAGAAAAACGAATCAACATGTGTATGAGGCAGATCTAGCTATGATGTGGACGGGCGGGCGTCATGTGTACTTCTTCAGCAGGATTGGCTTCGATTGCAAAACTCTCAGAAAAGTTTAGGAGAACCAGGGGTGTCGTGGCAATTTCTGATATCCAAGTCTTAACAACGCCAGCTACGGCCATCGACAAATGTACAGCAGTCTAGAAAGCAGCCTCGCGGCCACCAAAGATAGTCCGAGCACAAATCCAGTCCTATTGACCTCTTCTACAAACATAACAGCGTACGACGCTAAAGTACATACTTGCTCAACAGGTCTCTCTAAACAATGTCCACTTGTTACTCTTGTATCAGCTGCTCGACACCACGGCGTGAACGGCTTTTGCAAAGTAATCAATGTTCTTTGTGTTCAGACCCGCCATGCTGATGCGACCGTTCTTGGTCATGTAGATGTGCGACTCTTTGCGCAAGCGCATCACCTGCTCCTCGGTCAACCCGGTGAAGCTGAACATGCCAATCTGGTCCGTGATGTGGTTCCAGGTGCCAGGTGTGCCGAGCTCCTCGAGTTTGGCCCGCAGAGAATTGCGCATGTCCATAATGCGGCCAGACATGGTGGTCAGGTTGTCCTCCCATTCAGCGAACAGCTTTGCGTCGTTCAAGACAAGGCTGACGATGCGCGCACCGTACAGAGGTGGGTTGGAGATCTCAGAGCGCTGGAGGATAGCGAGTTGAGAGGCTATGCGGCTAATGGTGGTCTGAGCATCTGGCCCAGGAGCAGTGACAGCGTGGAAACAGCCTGCACGCTCACCATAGAGACCAAAGTTCTTGGCAAAACTCTGGGCGATCAAGAGCTCGAAGCCTTGTTCAACAAAATAGCGAACGGAAGCCGCATCGCGGGCCAGGTTGCCCGAGGCGAATCCCTGATACGCTGAATCGAAGAAGGGGAAGTGGTTCTTGGAACGAATCACCTCGGCGAGCTCTTTCCACTGGTCCAAGGTCGGGTCGACGCCGGTAGGGTTGTGGGCACAGGGGTGAAGGAGAATGATCGATCTCTCGGGTGCATCTTTGATGGCATTCTTCATGCCCTCAAAGTCGAGGCCCTTGGTCTTTTTGTCAAAGTAAGGGTATTGTTTGGTGGGAATGCCGACGTTGCTGAAGATCTGGTGGTGATTCGCCCATGTAGGGTTCGAGACATAGACAGTACGGTTACCCTTAAAAAACTTGGCGAGGAAGAGGGCGCCCAGGTGGACGGCGCCTGTGCCAGAGATGGTCTGGATAGACGCAGAGCGCTTCTCCTTGAGAGCGGGCGAATCGGCACCAAGCATGAGCTCGGCGGCCTTGGACGTGAAGCTCTGGATACCAGCAATCGGCGCATACTCGTGATTCAGGTCGGGGTCGTTTCGGAGAATCTCATCCGCCTATGAATCTTGTCAGCATGGACGTGTAGCGAGACCGGTCGTAGTTCGGGGAGTTCGGTGGGGCAGGGTTCTCCAAGCGAGCGAATGGTCATTATGGCCTGATGTGACTCTCGACGACAGATAGAGGGAGAAATCCGTACCTTCTTGACGACTGGCAGTATCCAGGGCTTTGCGTTGTCGTCGCGATAGGCGCCGATACCCTACAGGTTCACAGTTAGCCTTATCATCTCGCGTGGAGGACAAACGAGGTCGAATGTCAGGCAGTGACTTACCAAGTCCACCTTGTCTGGGCTTTCATCCGCCCGAAAAGCGGCCATCAGACCGAAGAGAGGGTCCTCAGGCGCTTGGGGGACAACGTCCGATGGGAAATTGGTTGTGGAAGCCATCTTGGGCGCAATGTGACTGGCAATGTTGTTCAGGCGGGAGATGGGAGAAGAACCAGCGGCAGAAGAGTCTGAAGTACTCGAAGCACCTTGACTCGAAGGTGGGGAGCTGACGGGCATCGTTGCGACTGCCCTCGTTGCGGTTGCGCGGCGAGGGGAAATGTGGGGTGATTATCAGGCGCGGCCTTGGGGTAATTGCGACTGTCACTGCCAGTAGGTACCTGTAAAGTACCTTAGTGAGTTCGGAGCTGCGCCGGGCACGGGTCCGTTCGTCGAAGCGATGGCCAAACTGATGGGTTTAGCCAGGTCAATCCGCGTGCAGCGATTGGGGCTGTTAAACTTGTGACGCAGCTAGTACAGCCAGCGTTGTGCCTGAAATGCGCTCCTTTCAGGATCCGTTGCCAAGCTTCACGTAATGGATAAGGATGCAGCTGCACGTCGATGGGCTCTGGTGACTGTCTGACTTTTTCCTCTCGGGGGCAACCGGTCCAGTCGCTGTGAGGAACGATGTGACAGGACGCGGTAACAGGTTCTCTTTCTCTCAGGCTTCAATCCGAGTAGGGCGAAGCGAACAAATGCTGCTTCTGAGGGATCAGTGGTGTGGTTTGTAGATAAGGAAGATAATAGTCGGCTGCTGGCAGTACCCAAAAAAATACTCGAAAGCCAGCCTCGTCTTGGTGTTCAAGATATACTTGTACGCGTCGCTGCGCTGCCGACCGGAATCTGGTCGCTTTATTATACCCCAGACCAGCTTGGTGGAGCCGAGGCCTTCGGTTCACCCGGTACAAATCATTCACCACACGGAGCCGCACGGAGCACCTAGAAAGCATGACACGTGTAGCCTTCTGGTCGCATCAGTCTTGCTCCTACGAGATTGCTCTTCCTGAGTTTCATTGACCAGATGATGCTCAAGTGTCAGTCACATGAATGCCGCGTTGCAAGCCACCGCAGCCGCGCTCCTCGCAGACTACCTATGGCGTCATACGCTCCAATCAGCATTCAGCAGTTTCACATGCTCACAACGTCCTCTATTGACCTCTAGAATATCAAATCCCACAATACCAGGAAAGCACATAGGCCACTGGTAGCATAGAAAGTCATTCGCGCTGTGCTCGGGCGTTGTGTTGCTTTCTTCAGCTGCTTGTTGCCGCCCTCCACGTTCTCCGTTGTTGAGAACGAATCGGCCACCAGGTGGTCGATCTGCTCCGTTTGGGTCGCCAAATGGCTGATGAGCGTCGACTGGAGGTCGCTGATCTCGGCCAAGGATTTCTGGGCGGTTCTGTAGGGTCAGCATGGGGGTTTGACCTGGGCCATTGTCCATCGACTTACTGGACAGACTTGTGCATGCTGTCGAAGAACTTCATCATGTCCTGATTGCCTTCTTCGAACATCTGCACCTGCTCCGCGCTCAATCCCTGGCTCTCGCTTGACGAATGGTCTCGGCTCGGATCGAGGCTCTCTGTCGCGTTCATCGAGGGTTTGAACTCAGAGAAATCCGTCATGTTGGGTGCTTGCGAGGCTAAGCTGCGGCTGGCTTCCACCTCCCTGATGAGCCTTGTTTCCATCATCTTTTTCTGGGTGGCGCCGCAAAGCTGCAATCGCTGTCGGAGGTACCAGAGAACACCATCCCGATGCAATCTGACGTCCTCCGCCCGAGCCTCTGCTAACGACTGCTCTTGCGTCTTGCCGCTCACGGCACCACCCGAGGCCCAGGCCCCGAGGGCTCCCAGTCCACTGCCGTGTTGCTTTTGTATGGATTTCATTTCGGTCTCGAAACGTATCTTTTCGGCGCTGTCGAGGGTCTCAATGCTCCAATTGAGCTCACGGAGCATCTCCTTGGCATCCTTGTCTACAGCTTCTCTCTCCTTATCTGAAAGCACCGCTGGTTGTCCATCTGCTGCCCTACTATGGCCTTTGCGCGGCTGCGCTCGTGCAAGGTATGCTCCTCGACCGCTCAGCAAGCTCCGATGGAGTTCTGCAATATGTGTGTTCTATGATTTGTGAGCAGAATGTCAAACAAGCCTTCCGATATGGCTTACAATGCGCAGAGCCTCCTTTAGGAAACCATCAATGTTCTCCAGCGTGACCTCAGTCCTCACGGGAGGGGAATGCTGCTTGCGCAAAAGCTCGTTGAGGTCGGGTGTTCGGTCCATGTTGACAGAAAGTAGATTGCCTCGCGAATTCTGCTCCAGCTAGATGGGAAGCCCGCGTTCAGAGCACGGGTTGGAACAATTCGCTGGATCGATTGTGCGAAATTCCCACGAAGCGTGGTGGGCATCTCGCCCACGGAAGCTTACGGACAGCGTCACCAGCTAGCTGCCAGCACCCGTAGCTGGTGGGGGCACTGAGTCAGCGACGAAAGAGCTACCCTATAGCCCCGAGTTGCCTATAAATAATAAAGGCTGGTCGGCTTATATCTGTCGCGAAACTTGAACAAAGTTCAACAAGTAATATTATGTACTTCATGGCTATTCGAAAATGTCGAACCAACTTGCAGTATCGTGTGGGAGCAAAGCACAACTATGACTTTCTGTGCTTCCAGTGGCATAAAATGTATCTTATGAGACAATCCCGAGCTAGCCACCCTTACATTTTACCCCGTTTTGATGACCTCAAAACCGGAAGTGCTGTGGATATGTTCCTCGCGAGGAGTTTGACACTTCACAGACTCGAGGCTTCTTTCTGCTTGTGCACGTCGCATCACACCTGCTTTTTTCGCTATCATGTACGGATAACAGTGCCGTTATGGGCCAGCGTGCCTTGGTCCCCACAGTGAGAGGCGCTATGTTGCGCTGACGAGCAGGCCGTCAGGTTAGACGATCGAATCAATTGTCTACAGTGAAAGGGCGAAGTTTCTATTGCTCCTATACCTATAGGCACATGGCTCGCAGAAGTATTGTGCAGCCTCGAACCCAGCACTAAGGTGGCTGTTTCAGTAGTATTATCTCGACGCGAAGCATCTCATATGCCTCCTCCAGTCAGTCGTCATCGCCGTCCGGGAATAAGAGGCGGAAGTACTCCGTGGCGGCAATAAGAGTCGCCATCTAACAAGTCGCCGAATATCCATGATCAGTTTCAATTTTAAAGGATCTGATCGACGGAATTTTCACTAGAACACTACTATTGCCCTTCATATCTCATGGCGACTCAGTCACAGGCATACAGACGCCACCCACCATGGCCGACAGTGAGCGACAGTCCCACGGCCAAACGGAGTCTCTCTCACGAGTCGATACAGAGGAGACGTCCGATCATGATGAGCCTACCAGCACTCGACCAAGCGCCCTCGAACGCTTCTCATCTATCGTAGGGGACTCTACGATGCCTGATCCCCAGGCTGAAGATGACCAAATGTCCAGGGTGTCCAGCGGGCCGGCCTACAGCACCTTTTCGCCGGCGATGAAGACATGGATCACGGTCATGCTCTCTGTAGGGAGCTTCATCTCGCCCATGACCGCGAACATCTACTTCCCAGCTCTCAACCCGATTGCAGAAGATCTAGGAGTCTCACTCAGTCTGGTCAACTTGACCCTGACAACATACATGATCTTTCAGGGGTTGGCACCGACGCTTTTTGGTGATTTCGGCGATATGGCTGGGCGACGACCAGCGTATATTGTCGCCTTCACCATTTATTTGTTTGCCAACATTGGCCTTGCGCTGCAGAGGAACTATGCGGCCTTGATGGTGCTCCGGTGCGTCCAGAGCTTTGGATCCAGTGGCACCATCGCCCTGGGATTCGCCATGGTCGCTGATATTGCGCCTCCCGCGGAAAGGGGGCGATACATTGGCTACCTGGGCGCAGGTATCAATGTCGGGCCTGCCATTGGACCTTTTCTCGGAGGCATTCTGAGTCAGTATCTTGGCTGGCCGTCGTTGTTCTGGTTCCTGGCGATTGTCGTCACAGTCTGGCTGGTTCCTTGGATCCTGACTGTTCCTGAGACGTGTCGCAACGTTGTTGGAAATGGCAGCACCCCGGCGCAGTCGTGGAATTTGCCAGTGATACAGTACTTTGGAAAGCGCAAGAGCAGTCAAGAGCACGCCGAGACCCGAAAGCTGCGCTTCCCCAACCCCATACGGACACTCGCTGTCGTGTTTGAGAAGGAGATGGGCCTGATCCTCATTCTCAATTCCCTTCTCTATGTTGGCTTCATCCTGACGGCCGCAACTCTGGGCACTCAATTCAAGGAGATCTATGGTTACAATGACTTGCAGGTTGGGTTGTGTTACCTTCCGTATGGTGGCGGTTCGATGATGGCAGTTATTGCGCAGGGATACATCCTCGACTGGAACTATCGCCGTATTGCCAAGAAAGCCGGCATCACTATCAGTCGCCGGCGAGGCGATGACCTGCGCGACTTTCCTATCGAAACTGCACGATTACAGCCCATTTATCCAGCCATGTTGCTAGGAGCCGGCGCGCTAGTTGGGTACGGCTGGGCACTGCAGGTCGAGACGAGTGTTGCAGCACCGCTGATTCTTTCCTTCCTAATTGGTGTGGTCGTACCGACATCATTTCAGACTCTGAACACTCTCATCGTCGACATCTTCCCAAAAGCTCCCGCCACGGCGACAGCGGCTAACAACCTTGTCCGTTGTTTGGTAGGAGCCGCTGGCGCGGCAGTTATTGAGCTCGTGATCCAAGGTATCGGGCGGGGATGGACATTTACTATCATGGCGTGTCTGGTCCTGATTTGCGTACCGGGGCTTCTCTTTGTTGAAAGACATGGGCCTAAATGGCGCAAACAGAAGCTCGCGAAGACCGAGGCGCCAGCATCAACGCCACGAGAAAAGTAGATAGTATGTCTGAAAGCATCGTTACTTTATTGCATCTGGCTCATCTATAATGCTGGAACCGCATTCTCGAGTGACTGTCGCTGGGCCTCCCACATCAGCCAGTCTGACCGCGTGGTTCTGATTTGGTCAGCATCGTACATAGAACAGTAGCCGCGCATTGACTTACGGTAGCAGCCCCATCTGGTTGACCTTCCAGATTCCCACAGCCAATGCCACTAGCTGACAAACTACGTAGACGAGCTTGACTTGCAGCAGGCGTCCCGAGACGGACGGCGATTCGAAGCGCTCAAATGCCTGTTGAGTGTTGACGATTCCCATCATAGGATTCTTGAAAGCCATGACTACCATCATGATACTGAAGATCTGCAGGGAGCTGCCGGACATGTACATCATGATGGCCGTCATAGGCAAGCTCTTGACTGGCGCAAGCGCAACCTCCCAGGCCTTCTTCAACTTTAGCGTGTCCATTTCTTCGGGCGTTTTCGCTTGTCGAGGCTGGACTTTCGCATCTTTACCAGACTTCTAGTTCTCGTTAGCGACGGCCCTCAGACATCTTGTCCTGCAACTGCGGCGCACCTTGTTGCTAACGCTGCTGCTGTGGAAGCCTGGCGGGTCGGGGATGCTCGAACTCTTCGATTTAGCTGCGGGAGGTGACTCGAGCTGCAGCGCCCAGGAAGCAGCCTGAGGTTTTGTCATATTTTCGAGCTCGTAAGTGAAGTAGCACAATGATAAATTGTCGTAGGTGGCGGGCGGTTGCGGATGAAAGGCGAGTAATTCGTTTCCGGCGGGTTACGCAGTCGACGTCGGATGGGTGACCCACATCACCTCCAGCCCTTCGTATCGATAATGGGAGTTCCGCAGGCGCCGCAGGCGAGTAAGGTACCGCCTGGTGAGGAGGGTCCTTCCCCTTTTCGCGGCAACAACACAATCACGACAAACCTCACCAACGACCGACAGAGTGTCGACTAAGCAACTTGCTATACTGTGCGCGAACCTTAGCCCCCCGGGCGCTTGATCCAGCCGCTGTCTCGGCACACATGTGACGTTTTCCTGTCCCCCTCCACGAACAGCTCGGTCGCGATAGAGCAGAGTCTCACCCAATTGGCTGGCCGCGGCTTGGACCAAGACGACGCTCTGAAGAAGGTGGTGAGGGGTTGCAAGTGAATGCGTCTTGCATCCCGTGACGGAAACAGAGGAACCATATCTGTTGGTAGGGGCTCTACAAATACGGCAACATGTCGAGCTCCGCTGGAGGAGGAGACTCCAAATTGTTCGCGAGAGTAAGCAACGCCCATTGTCTTTTTTTTTGCAGCACGAGAAACGCCGTGTCAATACCCGTCAGCTGTTCCTGACTGGCGTCCTGCTATCGTTTATGTGACCTTTCCACCGCGTCTGCTAAGCTTGGCAGCGCTGTGGCAGCTAAACATCATGTTCTTCGCATTTGTACCGCCGCCTCACTACGAGCCCAGACTAAAGACTAGACAGGGCAAAGTCGCCGAACTGCGCCTCGAGCTGAACAGTGGAGGCAAGAAGGACAAGAATTATGCCGGCAAGAAGATTGCGCTCAAGAAGATTGTGGCCAATATGACCATGAGTAACAATGACATGGTAGCTTTGTTCCCCGATATCCTCGGCTGCATGCACTTGCAGAGTCTGGAAATAAAGAAGATGTGAGTTGCCCAGGTCTGCGCACCGCTGCCAGTTGCTGATCTCTGCAGGTGCTTCCTCTATCTGGTCAATTACGCACGGTCAAGGCCAGAAATGGCTGTCAAAGCGATCCCTCTGCTGGAGCAGGATCTCGAAGACCACAATCCGCTTGTGCGCGCGCTTACTCTTCGAACCATCTCATACATACATGTACGCGAATTCGTCGAGGCCACCGTACCACTTGTCAAGAAATCGTTACGAGACTCCGATCCATATGTGCGCAAGACGGCTGCCTTTTGTGTTGCGAAGCTGTACGATCACGACAGGCATATGGTTGAGCAGTCGGACTTGATTGAGAGGCTGAACTCGTTATTACGGGATGACAATCCTACTGTTGTCGCGAGTGCTCTAGCTGGGCTGATGGACATATGGGAGCGCAGTGATGCGATCAAATTGACGATTGACTACAAGAATGCCTCCAAGATGGTGGCCATTCTTGCTGATTGCTCAGAGTGAGTCACGGTAAGAGAAGATTGCGCAACCTGGCTAACTTGTGAAGATGGGGGCAAACTTATATATTGGAGGCTCTCATGTCTTATGTCCCTCAAGATTCGGGCGAGGCATCGTTACTGGCGGAGCGCATCTCGCCGAGACTGTCGCATTCGAACTCCTCGGTGGTGTTGACTTGCATCCGAGTCATTCTATATCTCATGAACTACATCGCCGACGAGAAGCAGAACACTGCGCTTTGCAAAAAGCTTTCACCGCCTTTGGTCACTTTGCTCGCGAAAGGACCTGAGGTCCAGTACCTCGCTTTGAGGAACGCGTTGCTCATCTTGCAACGACGACCCGATGTGCTTAGGAATGACATCCGTGTCTTCTTCTGCAAGTATAACGACCCTATTTACGTCAAGGTCACGAAACTGGAGCTCATCTTCATGCTCGCCAACGAGAGGAACATTGACGAGGTGTTGACTGAGCTCCGGGAGTACGCTACTGAAATCGACGTGCACTTTGTGCGCAAGGCTGTGCGCGCTATAGGGAAACTGGCGATTAAGATTGAGCCAGCAGCCCAGCGGTGCATCAACCTCCTTCTCGAGCTTGTGGCGACAAAGGTGACCTACATCGTACAAGAAGCTACCGTCGTCATTCGCAATATCTTCCGCAAATACCCGGACCAATATGAGTCCATTATCGGGACTCTGTGCGAACACTTGGACTCGCTGGATGAGCCGGAAGCAAAAGCAGCGATGGTGTGGGTGATTGGCCAATACGCAGATCGCATCGAAAACAGCGACGCCTTGCTGGAGGACTTTTTGTACTCCTTCGCTGAAGAGCCGGTCGAGGTGCAATTGGCGTTGCTTACGGCTACGGTCAAGCTTTTCATCCAGAGGCCAACCAAGGGACAGGAGCTCGTCCCAAAGGTGCTCAAATGGGCTACCGAGGAGACTGACAACCCCGACTTGCGCGACCGTGCGTACATGTACTGGCGTTTGCTGTCGACAGACATGAACGCCGCAAAGCAAATCGTCATGGGCGAAAAACCTGCCATTACAGCAGAATCAGAACGGCTAGACCCGGCGACGCTGGAAGAGATGTGTCTCAACGTGGGAACCCTGGCGACCATTTACCTCAAGCCTGTGCAGACCGTGTTCCGTTCGGCACGCCCGCGTAGACTGCAGGACTCCCCAGCACTGCAAAGGCACAACACCGTGGCGTTTGGAGAGACACAGAAGAGTATTAGCATGTTTGGACGAGGCGGTCAGCCCAACGACATCGATGTGCGGACCAGAACAGCAGCATCGGCAAACGGCGGCCAGGGCAACATGGGTCAAGCGGTCAACGATGCTGACGTCTACTTCTCAGGCGTGGGCACCCAACAAATGGCTGCCATGAGGATAGACCAGGGGGACGACCTGTTCGGCGGCAACAGCGGTGGACATGCGGCCGGGTACGTGGTGAGCGCACATGCTCCGCAAACTGTGCTTCAGCCAGCACAGGGCGAGGGAAAGAATGGCGATTTGCTGCTATTGTGACGTGGCGATTGACAATAGCCCTGGTCATTACATGATACCTCAGTATAATAAGCGATTCCTTCTACACAGTTCGGGACGGGTCGACACAACGGAATTGCACGTGCCCGTGAAAGACGTACCGTGACCTCGGGTCTCATCCGGGGTATGTCGATAAGCTTATCTCGACACCACAGCTGCCAAGGATCTTGGTGACGAGTTCGTTCGAACGCGGCAGGCATTGAAAAGGGTCCAGCCTCCGGTAACACACCGTGATTTGCTGATTCCTATCACGAGACAAGACTCGGCTCGCGTGCCACGCGTCAGTCTGGTCTTGCCCTCCGCTCGCACTGGGTGTATGCTGGCTTTATAGTACAGTGCTCCATGAGGTGCGGGTGGCGTCCCAACTAACGTCAACTATCAATTTCTGCAATGCTTCAAGCACGCTCGAAGCTGCATCGATGTTTCCAATACTTGGCTTATCCGTAGTACGTACGGAGTACTTTGCCTACTACTACGTAGGTACCGTTATTATGCGCTTCGGGAATCGGAACACAAGGGCGGATCAGGCCCGCCTCCCCGCCTACCGAGGGGCTATGCGCGGGGAACCAGCTCTTGTTCAGCCCTCGGGGACTGTGAAGCCTGCAGGAGAAGACGCAGCAGGAGAGGGGGAAGCGTCCGTCCACGGTACAGCACGATAGGGGTCCTGTCTTTTCCCGCGTATGGACATGTGAGCACAGCTGCACAAGCACTGCATTTTATTAGGTACCTCATTATTTGATGTTTGAACACTAGGTTCTTGGCCGCCTATTGGCCTGGCCTGGCACAAACTATACATCAGACCCTCGCGGTTTCGGCTGCGACTGTATTGCTGTTTACCAGGGCTGCCCTTTGGCAAGGCGATCCAGAAGTGACTACTCCGTAGCAGAACGTTCTATTCTCTGGGGAATCGCCTTGAAGGCTGTGGTGCCGTCCATCACCAGCATTAGTCAGTATCTGAGAAATCGCCCGAGGGCTTTTACTGAGTTCGGAGTGGCGTGACTGGACTGGAAGCAGCCTGTGTTGGAGGTCGCCGGTTAGTAGGGAATACCGGTTGATGATACTGTACGTACTAGCTCCCCGGACCACGTGTAGAACTGGATTTGCAGTTGGCTAGCATCGGAAAGACAAGGAAACTACCATTCGTGGCCTAATAAACCTAATTGGATAATCGCAAACAAATAAAGCATGGGCGAAGGCGGAGGGCAGCATCTGGGCCAGCCAAGCCATGCACTTTTTGGATACGTACTATGTAACCGCATCCAGTCGTGCCACGACCCACGAGTCAAAATGCTGGAGCCCCAGATGGCCAACGATCTCCACTAACGCAGAGAGCACACCCACCATACAGTGCCTACTCCAGCGCCACTCCTTGTGCCCGCCGGATGCCCGCCGGCCTGTCTGCCAGTGCTTCCTGGAGTCTCCCCAGCAGGTTTGTGGGTAAGTGACTGGAGCGAATCGTTAAGTCACCACTTCATGTCCAGTCAGTCCACCACTCGAGACATGGAGCGTCAAGCTGACGTCCCGGTGCTTCTCTAGTCGCCCCGTCTACCTTACCAAGATCCGTCCAACCACCCACCCACCCAACCCATTCAAACCTCCCAGATCCAATCCGGTCATTGCTGAACTTTTTACCCTGCACTCAAATCAACTCCAAACACTGTCGTTTTCTTGGACCAAAGGACATCTCCTTGCCGCGCACCCAATACACCTAGTGGTGTTCCTCACCACCATCCCAAGTTCCCAGCGCGCCTCGCATGTCTTCGTAAGACGCTCAAATCAGCGGAAGTGCTCGCTTGTCACTGCCACATCGACCTGCATATTTGCATAGCAGTGGCGGCTGTGTACATGCGAAGAGAGACACTCTACCCAGGTCCCCTGCGCTCCATTCATTCCAGGCCCGCGAATCACCATGTCAGCACCGACCGACACCACCCACGCGACTACAACGACAGGTGCAGCACCCGCGATCGACTCTTCTCATCTCGAGCAGCCCAACGACGCTGTCCCGATGGAGAGCATGGCGAACGGCATGGAGACGGAAACCAACAAGCCATCGACGTCCCCTGCGGCGGACGCAACGACTGCGAAAACAGTCCCGAATGAGCCCGCCACCGAGGCAGGACCATCAACTACCGCCAACGCCGATGGCGAGGCCACTGCTGGCTCCCCCGTTGACGGAACAGAACGTCCCGTCCGGGAGCGGCATGACTCAGTGCTGGCCATTGGTCCTGCGCAGGACGAGATCAAGGCTGTCACGCCTGGCGGCGATGACCTCGGCCCTGTCTGCAATATCACGCTTCTCCTCACCAGCGGGAGCCGTCATCCGTACAAGATCAGCGCAAAGTACTTGTCTAGGAGGAATGTCCCTATCCCTGAAGAAACCGACTCCGGTCTGCCGGACCCCTTCAGCATCAGCGTATACACACTCAAGGAGCTCATTCTCAGGGAGTGGCGCGCCGAGTGGGAAGAGAAGCCGGCGAGCCCGGGTGGTATCCGTTTGATTCACTTTGGAAAGTTGCTGGATGATAAGGAACCTTTGCGGAGTATGTGGACCCTGTCACAAACGTACCGGTCTTTGATGGCATGCTGACAAAAGACCACAGAATATCAGTTTGTTCCGGAAAGCCCCAATGTTGTACATATGAGCATCCGCCCTGCGGATCTGGATGAAGACGAGCCCAAGACCGGGGGTAAGAGTCCCTCCCAAGCGGGAGGTGACGGCGTCCGTGAGAGGTCAGGCGGCTGCTGTGTCATCCTATGAGCGACTCGAGAGTCTGTTCAACATTGCACACCATCACGCCAGCTGGTGGTGCTGAAAGCATTCTAGGCAATGCTCCCCTCGGATATTTTCCCGATTACTACCCTCGTCAGGGATGGATATAACCGTGACCGGCCGTTGTGCCTAAAGACGGCAGGTGATGGCCCGGTACATACTCACTCATTTGCACTTTCGCAGCGTTGGGTCATCGTCACCTATGTGCGGTGACGGCGATATATGGAACACGACATGACCCAACAGCGGTACATCAGGGGCATCAGGCGTCACAATGGCGTTTTGGACTGGGATTTCTTTTCGTGATGATTTGCATGTGCAACTACGCTCTGGGTCTCTGTTCTTGACGTTCATATCTGTAAAATGGGGATCTTCATCTACGCGCCGGGCATTGGACCGGCTACGCTGGGCATCTTGATGGACAGGATAGAAGAACGCAGTTCATTCCACCATCGGCGTGATTGGATTCCGTTTCTTTGCATTAGCCTCGTGAGGACCATGTACAAGAAGGCCTGTTCGTACCACCATGTCCCTTTAAATCTTGAGCTTCTTCTCCATCTCCTCGTGAATACCAGGCACCTGCCTCTGCTCCTCGTTCGTAAAAATGTCCTCCCATGTGATCATGTCATCGCGGCCCATGAGAATATCCTCGTGCACGCTCTTTCCGGCTCCATTCTGGAGCGCCAGAGGCCGCCACTCGCTGTCTCGCACCATCTTGAGCTCCATACCACGGCGCACGGGCTCCGCGAGGCCATATGTACGACGCAGCGTGTTCATCTTGAGGGCCTCCTGCGTGGCCTCCCAGTTCTTGAGTCGGGCCTCGAGTGGGTGGGCGGAGGCAGGGACGCTGGCATCGTAGGCTGAGGGGGCTACGCCGTGGCGGAGGGTGTCGTGTACGCCGGGCGCCGAGGGGGCGGACGTTGTCGTCGCTTGGAAGGTGTCGGCGTGGCCGGATTGGGGGACGATGCGCATCGACTGGAGGAATTAGATATTGTGGTAACTGATGGGCGACGCTTGAGGGGAGCTTACCATCTTTGAGGCCTGGTGTGGGGGTAATCAAGGGTCCAAGATCAGATGTGTTGCTCTTGAATGCGTGGGAGCGTCAAGTGATGCGTTCAGAAAGGCAGACGTATGCGTTAGGCGTATGTTGGTTGAGAGGCCGCAGTAATAGTCGATTGGCCGTCGATGATGATGAAGCTCAAGCTGCCTGCAGGCAACGCCCAGGCCAACGCCGCCAGTCTCTCGACCCGCCCCCACATTTCGTCCACCTCAGGCTTAGGCCCGACTAATGCCGATATCGCTTCCTTCTGTCTCTGATGATAGTCGATCATCCTTTCAACAGCGGCACCATGGTACAAACTTCGACTCTAATCTGTCCAACTTGGATAATGGGTCAATCAAGGCCCTGGCCGCAGAAAACATGCCACCCTTTACCTCTCGAGCGCCCATAATACGGATCGCCAATGGCACCTTCTACCGCCACCATCCCAATTCGCAACCCTCGCATCCAAATCCGCCGCTCTTCAGCGACCTGAGCTTTGAACTGCCGTCGACGTCTAGCCCAGCGACCAATTGGTGTATCGTCGGGCCCTCGCTAGCGGGAAAGACGACCCTTTTGCAAGTTCTACGGGGCAGACTCCTTTGCGAACCACCTACTGCGAGATCCTACCCCTACCTTGCGACAGATCAGGTGCCGGACCGCTTGAAAGCCCCGAACAAAGCGGTGCAGTATGTTGGCTTTGATGCTGACTCTGGAAACCTCGGCGGTGGTGGCCCGGCGACATCGGCTTATCTGTCTGCACGGTATGAGTCAAGAAGAGAGTCTACAGACTGGTCACTACGTGATTACCTCCTGGGGAACACGCACCTCAATCCTCTTCAAGCCTTGCCTGGCGAGGAAGAGGAGAGGAAAACTACGACGCAGCTTCTTGAAAGGGTGGCCACGGACTTGAAACTCGCCCACCTGCTAGAGCTACCTGTCACGTTTCTAAGCAATGGACAGGGGCGCAGGGCGAGGATTGCTAGGGCTCTGTTGCGGAGACCAGAGGTTCTCCTCTTGGACGAACCTTTCATGGGCCTTGACCCGACGACGGTGCAAGGCTTAAGCCCTGTATTGAAGTCACTCGCGGACAAGGCAAGCCCGCGGCTGGTCCTGACTGCGCGCCCACAGGATCCTCTGCCTGACTGGGTCACGCATTTGATTTACCTACGAACGGATAACCAGATTGGCTCAATGGGGTCCAAAGAGGAGGTTCTCGGAGGCTTGAAGATGTACATGCGGGGTGTGAAGAATGGGAAGCTTGCTGAGGATGTGACACTGCCTCTGCAGACTCTGGAGGGTATTGGTCGTGTCTTGTCAGACAAGGATTCGTCGACTTCGGCCAGCCTTGGTCAGGCGGCCTCGTACAGACTCCAACCGACAAACCCCGATGCGGAACCGCTTGTCGAGATGGAAGGTTGCAAGGTGCGATACGGCGACAAAGTGGCCTTGGGCAATTGGAGCCTGAAAACGGCCGAGGGTACACGCGAAGGGCTCGACTGGACGGTCCGTCGCGGCGAGCGCTGGGGCGTCTTTGGGCCCAACGGTTCGGGCAAGACGACGATCGTGTCGCTCCTGTGCTCAGACCATCCTCAGACTTATTCTCTGCCCATCAAGCTATTCGGTCGTAGCAGGTTGCCCGAGCCTGGGTCCGGGCAACGACCTCTGACGTTCTGGGACATCCAAGCTCGCATTGGTCACTCGAGCCCCGAGGTTCATCAGCACATTCCACGCAGCCTGACGATTCGACAGGTCATTGAGAACGCGTGGGCTAGCACTTTCCGCGCCCCGCCCAAGCTGGACGTCGACGCAAAGGACAAGGTCGATGCTGCCCTCGGCTGGTTCGCCCACGAGCTTCGGCCAGGTGGTGCGTCTACCACGACCGACTCCCTGGACTGGGCGAACGAGTACATGTTTGGCGAGCTGTCCTTCAGCGCGCAGCGTGTTGCGCTATTTATCCGGGCCATGATCAAGTCGCCCGATGTCGTTGTGCTCGATGAGGCCTTCAGCGGCATGGACGATGCTGTTCGTTCCAAATGTACTGTGTTCCTCACCGAGGGCGAGACCAAGACGCGCGGCGACTACGGCAAGATCATTCCTAGCGACGTGCGGGATGTCAAGATTCAAGGTTTGACGGACCAGCAGGCTCTGATTTGCATTGCCCATGTGAAGGAGGAAGTGCCAGAATGTGTGCGAGAGTGGATGTGTCTTCCCGAGGCCAACTCTGGGGAGGCAGCGAGGTTCGGCAGGCTAGACGGGCCCCTTGCTGGCGAGGAGGGGCGGTGGCATGAGGTATGGGGTTTCAAGGCCTCGTGATATTGTACATGATATGCAGCGTATATTTTGCATGACAAATCGTCGTGGTCGTCGTCATGTGAGGCCGCCGTGTTCTTGTTCTGTAGCGTGGTGCGAGTGGTGTGCTCACACTGTTGTGGAGGCACATTGAATCAGCCTGGACACAGTGCGCGCGTCTGTCTCCCGACCTCATGTCGTAGCACGCCATCATCTGCACCAACTGACTCCCGCGATCTTGACCCAAGGAACCGTCTTCTGGCGGTCGTTAATTATGTCGCGAATACGGCTAGACGACGAAGATCTGGACCCACGCTACTGTGTCTCTACACAATCTCTCACTACGCCCATTGAAGTCGGCGCATTCGGGTACGTCTCGCGCTTCTGCCCACTGTACGGGAGGCGCACCACTAACCAAATGGCACACTTGAAGGCCTACTCGCGCCGGAACGTCCGCGTTTTTCGCGTGGCCGCCCTTCGGGCCTCTGCTATTTGACAATGAGAGTTCCGATGCGCGAGATCACTGCGCCAACGAGCGGAGTACGTCCACTGCATCATGGCGAGGGCGGAACGGGTGACTAACGAGCGATGAAAGCGTTTCTCTCCTATCTGCGCCTGTCGATGACAATGGCCGTCGTGTCCATGGCCATCACCCTATCTTTCCACGTTAAACATCAACCGGGGGAGTTTGAGCGACGGATGGCCAAGCCTCTGGGCGTCGTGTTCTGGTGTCTGTCTGTGATGATGCTCCTCATAGGACTGGGCAACTACATCCGTGAGTTTGTTCCGAGCTTACTCCCGGCACGATACGAGAGTCTATGGACGTTGCGCAAGACGGGAAACGACTGACTTCGAGGTGTGCAGGCACAGTGGACCAGTACAGTCGACGCATGGCCATTGTGCAGACGGGATTGAAGACGCAGCTTAGCCTAGGCGTGCTGGCCAGTTGCATCGTCGGCACATGCGTCGTGCTCATCGCGACCGCGCAGAGCGAGGAGGCGGCATCTGTCAAATGAGACGAAGAGATATACTTGGGAGATCCCTGTAGTTTTGCGCTGCCATGTGTCATGACCCAGTGATAGATATATATGCTATGCATTGAAGCACGTACGCGCCCAATGGTATATTCCAAACGCCCCCATCCCAATGATTTGACTCGTGCTTGTGCAATTGAAGAAACCCGCTGATTACATGTAGCAAAATAAGTCATCCGCAAAGGCGTGCGGTTGCCGTTCCAGCTGCTCATCCTTGCATTGGCCCACCTCTGTCATGAACCGCGCGCGGTAAGCTGCGGCATCGTCGTCGAACGCTGTCGCCGAGGATCCCTTGCCGTCCCAGCTAAGCATGGAGAGGCTTCTCAAATTTGGCAGGTTGCCACCGTGTGGCAAAGTGTGTAGGATGTCCACATGCCAGTGCGGTTCGAAGACGGCGGTTGCCTCATCACCCACGCCTTCTCCCATGGCGTCGCGTCGTGCTTCGTCGTCTTCGCTGTACTCTTCCGGCACGTCGGGGAGGTCATTATGCACGCCCACCACCACCCTCGACGTCTCCTGCCCGGGGTACATGCAGTAGTATCCACGTATGCGCGAGAGTTGCAACACATACTCTAGCCATGATGGGTACTTCTTGCTGATCTGCTTGTGGGCCAGCAGAGGCGGCGACTCTGTGGACAAAGCTTGCAGTTCGAGGATGTGTGAGATGAACCCGTGCAGTTCCATCCACTTGTCTCCTGGGATGACCATGGCGTCACTGAGAGGTGCCTGCCAAAGGAAAGAAGACCCTCCGTCTTCTACAGGAGCGGGCGCTGTCAATGGTGACGACCCGTCCAGCAATTTGGTCGGCGTTGCTAAGCTGAGACCCATCATCTGCGCATCCGAATTCGTGAGCGCCACACTGTTTGAGTGTCTATAGTGCAGGATGCTAAACTTGAGATCTGCTTCCTGTCAGTGGATGCACTTTTGCTCAGGTTGATACTAAGTGGCCTTACAGTGTAAGAATTGGGGAGTCACCTCGGTGTGAGGTGACAATACCAGCACGTAGGAGTGGCTTTTCGACTTGGGCCAGTACGACTCTAGGAACCTCACAGAACTCTCCTCTGCAGATAGTTTCGTGCGCGGGATGCGGCGATGTAAGGAGAGCATGTTTGGAAGGTGGGCGTTGGCGCCTGTCCGCGGTGGCCATCGAAAGTCGGCGAGGAACTTTTCGGTTTGCGGCTCCGCCTTGTGCGGGAGGTCGACCGTCAAGTGCGGCACGGGCATAGCGGCCATGTCCACCTGCGACAGCGACGTCAGCAGGCGCATGATGTTCCCGGCACCGCTCGTCGGGGCTTGCACGAGGATGTGAATGGTGATCTTGTCCCAGGCCGCTAGCGCCGCCGAGTCCAGCTTGGTGATCCAGGCCAGACGCATCCCGGGTCTCTCGGGGAGCTCTATGATGGCGGATGCGGTGCCCCGTGTCTGGTCGCGGAGTCCGCGCAGGAAGTACGACTCCTCGGCGGATGTCGAGTCGATGAAAATGGCCTGCGGATGCATGTACGTGTTGATATGATCTATGTCACATTGTCAGCGCCTCTCCCATGGCTGAACTACGGCGATTCGTCACGTACACATGGCTCGTGCGGAACACAGCGCCATCCGCTGCTCTGTCGAGTCAACGGCGTGGTCGGGCCTCGCGTCATGCAAGATCATCTGACATGTGTTGTCAATGCCGTTGATTTTGACCAGCTCTTGCAGCGGCACCACGCTCCGTCCCATGAACGCAAAGTGAACGTAATTCCGCCTCTCCAAGGCCATCTGACAAGCCAACGGCAGAAGTGCGGATGCGCTCTTGAGGCTCGCGGCCGCGAAGAGGACATTGCGATTCTTGGGCTGTTTCCCCTCCGTCCCTGCTATGGCGTGAAGGGATTGACCCAGGCTTGGCAACTTGACGGCGCCGTTATATGTCTTCGGCTTTTGAACGCTTGATGCCGCATCGTGCGTTTCTCCGACAGTGCCTGTCGAGCCTCGTCCGGGAGGGGGCCGACCGTTCAAGGTTGATGACCGATGCAAGCCCTGGATGTCTCCGTGCGGACTTGAGGTGAAAGCTTGCGACAGGACGTAGAAGAGGAAGAGGGTGATGGCGATGTAGGCGAGCAGCCTCGCCACGGAGCGGCGGCGGGGCATTCGAACGGCCGCCTGCCATTGTCCATTAGGGCCCTGGTGCTGGTGCTGGCGGACTGGGAGGTGGTCGTCGTCCTTCTTGGCGAGTTCCTCGTCGCTTGCCCATAAGCGGGACGTGGCGCGGGCGCGCGACAAGTGCGCCGGCATCATGGTTCGCAGCCGGCAGGCAGTGGGACAGCGAGGCAAGCTCGGATACTGTATCGTTCGCGATGGAGGCGTGGGAAGGGTGGTGTGGACGCGAGACACGTGTCTCACATTGCGCCTACGGTCAAGGACCTTGCCAACTACCGAGTGTGGTGGTAGGAGCGGGCGTGTAGGGCGAGACGACTTTCGAGGCCTATCGACAGGTATAGGCGATTAACGACGACAGTCAACCTGCAAAAGGGGCTCTGGATGCTTTGATCAATTGATTGAGGTTGAAGTGCAGGCAGCTACTATAGTCTAAGCAGGTGTAGATAGCTAGCTCAGCTCAGCTCAACGGCCGCCGACGACTGGACCCGCCATGTCATACGTCGTGCAGGCGGCTAGTATTAGCGCTAGTCTATTCTAGTTCAGTCGCCAAAGGACAGGCTGCTTCTCTCCCTGATTGGCCTCGTGGACAATCTGGCCTTTGACTCTTCATCAACTTTGTCCTGCAACCTACGGCGTGCGCCTAAGCAAAAGGATTGAACGTACAAGTATTCCAAAAACATCTTGCTTGACGCAGCTGCGATGCGAGTCACCTCAAGTTCACCGGCCAGACAGTGCCTGTGATGGTGGAGCAGCTGCCCGCTCCACTCTACTACCACGTACCACGTACTACATGTACTCGCGCAGGTAGAGAACATATACCACTACCCAGGTTTCTGCGCACCCGTTGTCAGAAGGACGAAGCTTAGGTATATATTTCAATCCCCGCGGGGCAGCCTAGCTACGTCCGTACTCAGCACAACAAGGTACTCCAAAAGTTTTCCCTCGCCGGAACCGGGTGCGCGTCGCCACAGGTATGTTCCAACAGGGTGGCGTAGTGCCAATGCCCGCCTGACATGCCGTCCAGTCTGATCCGGAGAGACACCCACGCACCCAACACGAACGATGGAACGCAGTTGCAGATCTCCATGGGCGCTAAGTATACATGATCACCGTGCATGGACAGAGTACATATGTTGCCTCTCTTGTATTATTCCGTTGTACGGAGGTACCTGAATCCTCTCTCGCGTCGGACATTCGCTGCTCGCCCTCGTCAACCAGCCACACTGCCATACTGTTCATCACCATGAATCCTGCCGCCGCTTCCTTTTTGTAATCCTTTTGTTCATTCTCTATGTTTACCACGACAGCGTGGGCGTGCAGGTCTGGAGCTTTGCAGGAGCAGGCGACATGGAAGCGCATCAAGACCGAAACCATACGACCGATGAAATATCCAACATTGCCCATTTCGTCTACATTCTTGCCGACGAAAGCAAGGGCTTCAATTTCGAGTTTAGCCATTTCCTGTCCATGTATGCAGCTCGGCTGTACTGGGAACCCGATACCATTTCCTACACACCAACGTCGACCCAGACGGCACAGCCATCGCCAGAGCCAGGGACGGTCTCGATGGGAAGTGGAACAGACTGATCTTTACGCATTTCAATCTCGACGTTCGAAAGGTGGAGGTGCCCTCCTTCGCACACAATGGCGTCGAGATCCAGGGACTCGAGCACAAGTCCGATTTCGTCCGCGTCAAGGCCGTCCAGGAACACGGGGGCGTCTACATCGACTGGGACGTCCATGCGCTGCGGGACATCAAGAGCCTGCGGCAGAGCGGCTTCAACGCCGTGGCGGGCAGGCAGGCCCACGGGCAGATCAACAGTGGCACCTTTATGTCGAAGCAGGGCGCCAGGATGATCGACTTGTGGGCCGAGGGCATGCACGAGGCGTACAACGGAGGCTGGACCACGCACAGCAACGAGGTCATTGCGAGGGTGGACGAGCTTCTCGTGCAGGAGCCTGGGGAGATGCTTATCATGGAACGCGACGCCTTTGCACCGGGGAGCTGGGAGAGCAAGGACACAGATAACCTCTTTCAAAGTCATGATGAACCTGCTGGCTTCACGGAGAATGAGCTCGCCGCCATGCGCAGCCTGGGACTGGCCGAGTCCGAGACGCCTGGGGATATCCCGGAATGGGCGTGGAATTGGTCGCACCCATATCTTCTTCACGCCTTCAGTCCGTATCGCTGGCATCAAAAGGTGGACGGCTACGACCACATTTCGCCGGCGTACGTGTTACGCAGAGACAGCAATTTCGGGAGAGCAGTGTATCCGGCCGGGCTGCACATGTACAGGGAGGGCCTTGTTGGGAGTGGACGATCCCTGCGATGGGCGGACTGACGGGGACACGAGGTGAAGGATGCGTGATATGTGCATGGCACTTTGCTTGCTTAATGTAGATGACGAGGAACTCAAACAGGTCCCAGAAGACAAAGAACACGTAGAAGCAGTACCGATGTTCTTGAGGGCAATGGGCGCCGCAAACGTGTTGACAAAGCTCGCGGCGTCCGAGGTGATATTCGATGCTCGATATTGGAGATGCAGAGATGTGTCCTGGCACTGACGGGATCTTCACAGCATTGCCACAGCGTGTCCAACATTTTCAAGTCTTCGAGGCAAGTCTGCGATGAAATGGTGATGTGGCCATCGAGATTTTGTCCGTCCACAAAAAGTGGATCAACCTTGGACCCTGACGAACGACCCTTCAAAAAATTGTTACGACCAAGATCTACTACACTCTCAGCCTTCATACACTCCTCTCCTTCTATTTTCACAGTTGCCTTCACAAACTCGCAACATGGGAAAGTCCAGGCGCAACAGAGGCGCGCACCGTCGCGACCCCATCGCCAAGAAAACCGTCAAACCGCCCACAGATCCCGAGCTCGCTGCTCTGCGCGAGTCCAAGATCTTGCCCGTCGTCAAGGACCTCCAGAATGCGGATCCCAAGCAGCGAAGCACGGCCGCCTCGGCCATCTCCAGCATCATCCAAGACAGTAGGTGTCGCAAGCTCCTACTGCGGGAGCAGATTGTGCACATCGTCCTCACGCAGACCCTCACCGACGCGGCCCTGGAGAGCAGAGCAGCAGGTTGGGGCATCCTCCAAGTCCTGGCACAGGAGGAGGAGGCCGACTTCTGTCTCCATCTGTATCGCCAGGATGTCCTATCCGCCATGGAGTTTGCCTCGAAAATGGTGAGTCGCGATCGTCTATCTCAAGCAAGTATACGCACAAACTAATGAGACACCAATCGCAGGTCTCGAACAAGCTGTCATCCAAGGACCCCGTGCCAGCTGCCGAGAAGTCACTGCTCGTGAGCATTACCGGCTCCATCATCTCTTTGTCTTCAGCATTGGCTGAGGCGCGGGACGAGATCCTCGAGGCTGTCGCCAACAACGCGGCCATTACGAGCCTAATCTTCAGCATTGTCATTCATGGCAACAGCGACGAGGGCCTCGCGGCGCTGCGCATGGACGCCATGGCGTGCGTGATGGTCTTGTCCGAGGACAATGGAAAGCTTGCAGGGCACATCGTTGCTCAGCACCAGCCATTATACGAGACACTGCAGGTTGCTAGGAAAGATCCCTCGGGCGAGGGCGTTCTAGCCTGCGGTATCATTCACAACATCTTCGTCTCACTCCAGGGCCAGACGCTTGATCACAACATTCTCGACGACGCCGAGATCATCCCGACTCTATCAAAGACCATCTCCGCCATCACACCCGCCTCATCATCTACGACCAACGGGCACGGAGAGGGCTGGTCCAAACCCTTTGAGTACCAATCTCTCGCTCTTGAGATCATCGCCTCCATCGGGACGAGTCTCAACTCCGCAACCGACGAGCCCGCCCCAGACTCCAAGCACTCTGGACTGGCAGATGACGAGGAAGGCGACGATGAGGATATGGGCGACATAGTCGACGATGCCGACCCGGACGCAAGCACGGCCAACCCCCCAGAGGCGTCAGAGGAGATGGACGACGACGAGATGCACGCCGACATGGACATGGTCACGGGCGCCGACGACGAAGACGCACAAGCCGGCTCCATCGACGACGTGCCCGTGCTCAAAGCCCTGCTCGCCCACGCCCTACCAGAGCTCGCCCGCGTGGCCTCCCTCGCGCCCAGCGACCAGGACACCCTCCGCCTGCAGGCCCTCGCCCTCGCCGCGCTCAACAACATCGCCTGGTCCGTCTCCCTGATAGACTTTGCCGACGAGCACAACGCCGGCATCCAGTCCGCGTGGCGACCCACCGGCCGCGCCGTCTGGCAATCCGTCATCAGCCCCATCCTCGCCAGCGACACCGCCGACGTCGAGCTCGCCACGCAGGTCACGAGTCTCGCCTGGGCCGTCGTCCGCACCCTGGGCGCCGACACGCCCCTCCAGGCCGACGACGAGCACCGCAAGTTCATCACCCTATACCAGGCCACCCGCACCTCGCCCAACATGGGCGGCCAAAGCGCCGCGCCAGAGGCGGATCCCTTCCAGGCGCTCGGTGTCAAGTGCGTCGGTGTCCTCGGCCAACTCGCTATGCATCCCGCGCCCGTCTCTCTGAACAGGGAGATCGGCACGTTTCTGATGACCATTTTGTCCTCGCTGCCCGACGCCCCGGCAGCCGATGCGGTCGAGGCGCTGAATCAGCTCTTTGACATGTACGGCGACGAGAGCTACGAGTGCGACAGGGAGGTTTTCTGGAAAGACAACTACCTGAAGCATCTAGAGGATATCGTGCCCAAGGTCAAGGCCATGGTGAAGGGGGTGGATAAGAGGAGCCAGGGGGAGCTGAGGGCAAGGGCTGATGAGGCTGTCACCAACTTGACCAGGTTTTTGGCATATAAACGCAAGCACAAGCCGCAATAAGGGGTGCTTTCATTGGAAAATTGAAAGCAAGAGAAGCTCATCGTGTTTCCTTGCCTCGTGAGATTGATTATATCTAATGACTGCCAAAAATCCACTGCAATGGAACGCCAGAATGTAATGCGCCCAACAAAATCTTCCCATGTACCCCCTAGACGCCCGCTGTCCCTTTCTCTTTAGCATCGTTCAAAAACCCGATACAGCCCCTTTAGATTCGCGACTTCCAACACGCCTCCCTTCATCAATCCATCTGTCGCCACCAGCCGCGCCTTGAATGCTGGAAAGAAAATGTTCTCGACCGCCCATCGTACATGTTGGCGTCTGGCCCTGACATGCTCGGATATGTTCTCTTCCCTTTGGCCGCCCTCGCCGCCCGGGATCGCGGGGAGCTGCTCCGGCACGTAGAACGTGGCGAGCTCTCTCAGAAACGTCTCGAAGCAGGGCTGCTCCTCGTCCCACTGCACGTTCGGTCCCAGTCGGAGAAGGAAACTCGGAAGTTTCGCCAGTGACGGCGTGTAGCCCTTGACGAGCAGCGGTATGCTGAAGAGGTCGCCCGCAGCCGAGACCTCAAAGGAGAAGTATTCCAGGAGCATCTCACGCCGTTCAATCAAGCGGGAGACTACTTTCCGCACCACTCGATCGACGTCAAAGTCTCTGTCTGTGCCTTCCAAACCATTGCGCTCCGTTTTGACTGCCATGCGAACGAGCTCTTCCACGTTCAACGGTGGGTTGAACTTGATGGACCCAAAGTTGCCGAAATCCGTCAATCCCAGTTGGTAGAAGTACTCGAAGCAAGTGTGACCATAGTCAATCAAGTAGAGCTTGATGCCCCCCTGAATCGCTGCCAAGCGCCTCTGCTCGTCAACGATCCCGACAAATGTGTGTGTCGAGATGATTTCGGTAAGCTCCGTGTGCATCTTCTCTCGCACCTCGGCTCGCAGGGCCTTGACACTTCGTAGTCGACAGAGCGTGGGTTCCCTGTCGGTTGTCTGGTACTCAATGGTCTCCGGTTTCGACAGAGATTCATCCGCCCGGTCCCCGGATTTGGACGCCTTGCTTGACCCGGGGCTATATGTGAACATGCTTGTGAGCTTTCGCTCGGCCGTGTCAGTCCGTACGAGTGAGGCTGGATTCTTCGCTGGGGTTCTGCCAGAGGCTGCATACGACGTCTGCGGCTTGATGCTGTCAGGAGGGGGCGACGGATCAATAGGCCCCGCCCCCGGTAGGAGTGTCTGGGTCATGAAAGTGCGGCTGGCGTCGACTTCCGATAACTTGGTCTCGATTTCTTGGCAGATTGCCTGGACAATCTCATCTTCGTTCAGGAAATGCACTTCTCGTTTTGTGGGATGGACATTGACGTCCACTCTCGCAGGGTCGATTTCCAGGTTCAGGTAGGCAAAAGGGTGCCCTCCTTTCGGTAGATATGCGCTGTACGTCTGCTCGACTGCCTTTTTGATGACGGGCGAGTCGACTGAGCGGTGGTTGATAAAAAGAAGGAGCGTCGTCTTCTTGATGTGGTAGTTTGCATTGGTCACCAAGCCATCCGCCTGGAAGCCCCAACGGTCGTCTGTCGCCTTGAAGCTGATTAGTTCGTTCGCCACGCTCGCCCCGTAGATCTGTCGTATCCTGTCGTTCACCGTGGCGTGCGCCTGCACCGAAAGACTCGTTGAGGATTCGCCGGCTTTTTTGCACGTGAACCCAACCCCCTTGCAGTGTATCGCATACCGGCCCACCATGTCAATGATCTTGTTGAATTCGTCCGCGGGCGACCGAAACGCCCTGCGACGTGTCGGCACATTGTAAAATAGATCTGCCACGGTGATTTGTGTCCCAGGGCGACCTGCCACCCCCTTTGGTTCCGCCGGTTGCCCAGGTTTGGGTGATGCAAGGCGTCCATCTTGATAATGAGCACGCCAAGCGAGGTTGGAGTCCTTGGTTTTTGTCGTCACTGTAAGGTGAGCGATGTGGCTGATGCTAGCCAGGGCCTCGCCTCGAAATCCATACGTGGAGATTGACGTGAGATCCTCGAATGATGTAATCTTGGAGGTGGTATGCCGCGCGCAGAGCAGCACCAGGTCGTCTTTCTGCACAATAGTCAACGGCCGGATCCCCCCGGTTGAGTCATAATACCAACCTGAATGCCGCAGCCATTGTCGGTGATTTGAAGCAGTTTCAATCCGCCTTCCTTGGCAAGGATCTCAATCGAGGTGGAGCCAGCGTCGACGGCGTTTTCAATCAACTCTTTGAGTGCATGGACAGGCGCTACGATGATTTCACCTGCGGCGATTTTATTGACGACGTCTGGGTCGAGGGCCTAGGAAGGATATCAGTCAATGACTTGAGAATTCGCTCCTGGCAGAAATGGACTAACCCGAATCCGCTTGGCTGGTTGGCTGTCGCTCATAGAATCGTCTGCTTTCCTTTTGGCGCCCGCACCAGAAGGGTCATCCTCCGTCGACCCGGAGGCCATCCCACCTCATGGGTGAGTGACGTGTCGCAAATCAATAATGAGGCTAGATGCTGTGGCACCCGGGGGGGTTGCAGGAGTCAGGACCGCGCGCGAATAGCACAGAGGCGAGATCACATGAGCCAAGGGAGATGCAGATGATAGCAGCAGGAGATTTTGTGGCGAAGTTACATCGTCAAGGGGAACAGCGACTTTGGAGAACACCAACGAGCCATCAACAAGTTGGAGAAGAGTTGTTGATGCAAGGAGTTAAGCTCAAGTCAGGAACCGATCCCCAACGCTGCTCCACGTAAATGGTGGAACTAGGCACACGAGCCTCCCGCGAGCACACGTGATGTGACGAGTGCTGATGGCCGGGTCACTTGCGCCACATGCGGCTTGGCTACCTTAGGGAAAGACATAATCGCATTTATCCCATTCGTACATCATCCAGTGAGCATCCTGTCTGGACTCCAATGGACTCAGCCTCCAAGTCTGCCTTCATATAACCTCGACGCGAACCATGATTTTTTGCCATGGCATTCTCGGTGTAAGTCATGCCGTCGTAGTTTATGTATCGTTCTCGATCTCACTGTGCGTGAACCCATCATTGGTGCCCGACCGCTCACTCGCCACGGTCACGGAGCACCTCGTCAAACAGGTTGGCTGAACGCCCCGGCGGACTCGTGATCCGGTCTGATGAAAGAGCAACGAGTCAAGGGGTATCAAACCCAATGGTTATTCGCGCCTCGTCCATCCATATCTTGTTGCGCCACCCGCCCAGAACCACCACCCCCGACACCGGCAGTGTGATATCAACACAGAACCGTTATCACGACCGCTCCCTATGGAGTCGGGCGACCAAATTTTGCACGTTGTGGTGGCTCATTCGTGTGGCTCATATCATGGCCAACAGTCGGTGACCCAGCCAGGACAAAGGAGAGCCATCCATATCCAGGTTTTGCTTCTAGCATCACTTTTCTTGGCCAGGTGGTGCCCAACTCACTCTGTTCTCTGGACGCCTGCGATGTGGCCCTACCTGAGACTGCCTGTCCCCGAGGCGCTGTCCTGTCAAAGCCGTGACCGGTCCTCGGAGATGGACACCGTGAAATTCATAAATATGGCACCATCCACCCTACCCTTGATGGTAGATATCACTACATCATATCAGCAAGACTATTTTTCAGTATGACGAACAGAAAACCTCGCCGTGGTGAAGAACACCGTCCAGACTATCACCAACATGGTGGTTATGAAAACCCATACCAACAGGGTCGCATCAACAACTCTTCGAGGCCTCGGCAATATGCGTCCGATGACTCGAACGGTGCCAATGCGTACGTCCACGCTTGCCCTTACTTGCTAGACGTCCACTGACAGCACAAGTCCAAACTCTCCCCGTGAGGTGTCACAGGAGTGGCATCGTGATCCCCGTCGCTTCTCCCCAAGCCCTCGACAAAGCTCACGAGAACGTACACGAGACGCTCTTGACGGTATGTCCCGTGGCAATGAAATGTGTCAAGAAAACTTTGACGAAGGCCCCCCACACCACGGAGCGGGTCGAAGCAATCAGCGTCTTGGAGAAAGATACCGAAGCAGAGACAACGGAGGTAGGGATAAGCATGGCGAACGCACTCAACATCGAGTTCACGATGAAGGCCGCGAGAAAGAACACCGCCAGAGCGACAGACGGCAGCGTCGCCGCGACCAGGATGAAGAGTCACTTTCGCAAAAGACACTTGAAGAAGGGAGCGCCCGCGGCCACTCCGAGAAGCATCGGCGCGAGAAGTCTGATGAAGAGAAGAGGCGGAGGCGGGAGCGCAAGGACCGTAACGGTTGATCGCCTTCGCTGAGATCAGGTCGCACTCACTCATTGCTAGCTTTTTTCATCCGTCTCTGAATTTGTTTTCTTTTTGCTAAGATAGATCGCAGTTATTGTTTATCGGCGTTATGAATGCTTGCTTGTATATGGAGGTCGATGTATCGACCGAGGAGGGGAGCAATACGTACTCACATAGACACCTGGCAAAGACTTTCAACGGCATCTCAGGATAGCACAAAATGTTTCAATGCAATTCTGACAGTTCTTTATGTTCTGAAAAGACACTCTTCTTAATTGCCCAGAGAAAGACGCACCTGGTGTCATGTTGCTCGCCCAGACGAGCTATGATTAGGCAGATATCGTAGTCAACCTAACGGCTTCATGCTCACGACAGTGACGACAGAGGTCGCACCAACACCCCTCTTCGAGCTCACGTAGACGTCTAGCAACCGTACAAGCCAAGGGCCCTCTTGTTGCGTCAGCGGATTATGCGGGGATGGGATCATCATCGTCATGCGGTGTGGTTGTCTCAACGTTATGATTCGATGCGTCCCCTCACTTTCCGTCAGTCACACGCCCCCTTCAGAAGATCTTTATGAAGTTTCAAACCCATTCAACGAACAAGAGGGCAGACGTTGGCACAATCAAGGCCCATAGATCATGTTGTTGAGCCCATGTGGATGGAAGCAGCAACATCCCCCTGAGAGGATGTGGTCAGAGGTATAGATAAGGTACGCCCACCTCAAAAAGGTCCCGTGTTTGGATGTCGATAGGTCCCTATAGAAGCCTCGGTATAGTCGATTTTTGTCTCAGCTCATCTCATGTCTGTGGCTGCTTGGACCCTGCATCGGCCGCCGCACGTTTAAGCAGCTCTAAGCGTAGAAAGAGCAAAAACATTTCCATCGTGCCTTTGTTTTCAATTATAGTAAATTGTGGACCGTATTCACATAAACTGAGGATGTTGCCACTGTTTCCATGGCTGTTCCCCAAGCACCGGCAGCTGGGCGTAGTAGTCTAGTCGACTACGCACTTTGGAAGCTACCTTGTCCCTGGTGATCAGGATCCAAAACCTGGATTTTGCCTTCTCCAAATTACTAGAGAGTAAGAGTAGATCTCTTTGCCTCCGCAGCAAACCTGGTCCCCTGTCAGGTTGGTCTGCCGTGTGCATCAGTGCATCTATTGGCTCCAAGGTGGTCTCCATGGATAGATATCCTGCCTTCGGCCCCCCCAGCTAGAAAACAGGTTATCCCATACATCCTGGTAGCGTAACAAGCACATAATCCGTAAATCACCTGTCTATCCTGCTTATGTGAAACGTCATTCCTTGGATGATCTGCAAGATCGATTCCCAGAGATCGCAAATCCACCCCTTGACGTCATTTCAATACAAGGCCAGGTCGCATGTAAACCACCCTTCCATCTCGGCGGGTGTTGCATTTCGCTCCTTGTCATTAACTTCACGGGCCAAACAATACAAAAAAATTAAAATTCCCAACTCGAAACATATACCACACCACAGCCATGAACAACAACAATAACAACAAGGGCGCAGGTGAGCAGCTCGGCGGAGCTCTCAACGGCCTCACCTCAACACTCGGCAACACCGTCGGCGCCGTAGGCCGCACAACTGGCAACGTGACGGGCGCGGCTACCCGGGGCGTTGGCGACACCGTCACCGCTGCGACGGGCAGCTATGGCAAGCCCGTCGGCGATGCCGTCGGCAACGTGGGCACCGGCGTCGAGGGTGGACTGGGTGACGTGTCCAAGGGCGTGGAGGACGCTGGCAACTGGAAGAAGCAGTAGGCCCCGCAACGACAGATCAAACTTCATGTTGTACAACTTATGAAACGTTAATATTCAAGAACTGGACGCCATCTATCCAATGTTAAACTCGCTTGCACCCGCACTCATGAGCATTCTGCTCTTCTTCTTGAAAAGATCATGAGAAGCCTTCTCGTCCATGCCGGTATTCTCGTCAAATTCGCCCTTGGAGGCGCCCCCTTTGCTGCTGTTCCCACCCTTGGCATCTTTGCCGCCCTTGTGGTTCCTTTTTGCTTTCTTGTCGAGGCCGGCGCCGATACCACTGGGTGGCTCTCGTAAGCCAAAGCTCTTGGCCGTGTGACCAAGGTGTAGTTCGGTAATGTCGAAGAATTGTCGCTCCTCCTTTGTATGAGTGGCGTACGCGCGTATGTGCGACTTAAACCCGTTGCGGGCAAGATCCAGCTGTTTCGGATCGTTGAGGATGCGCTGTTCGAGGTGCAGCTGCAGCTTATCAGGGGGCTTGTGATCGGTGGCCACGCCTGGCGGTGCTGCCGATGTCTGGACAGGATAGTTGATCTTTGCCAGGTTTCCCTTTTCCAAGACCGTCTCAAAAGGTTGATTTGTGATTGCTCCTGACGTCTTGAGGAGGTCAATGTAGCCCTCCTCCGTGCCGGGCTGGAGGAAGATGACAGCATCACCAGGTCGTCCTGCACGAGCTGTACGTCCAACACGGTGAATGTGGTCTGCGAAGCTAAAGGCTGGATCATACTCGATAACCAAGTCGACGGAGGGGATATCCAGACCACGAGAAGACACATCAGTGGTGATGAGAACTGACGGCTCTTTACAGGCGGAGAATGACTTGATTGTCGCTGTTCGTGTTGACTGGGACAAGGAACCGTGCATGCGGTGAAGAATGACTTGGGGGCTTGCAGGCGTGGTGACATATGACGCCTTGGCTACCGTCTTGCTCAGAAGCTCTTGGTCACGCTTGACAGACTCGGGAAGGTCTGGCTTTGCTGGGTCCTGTATTTTCTCCGCCTGCTCTGCCTCTTCATCCGAGTCCTCCAGCTGCTGTGGTTTCTTGGAGGTCTTGGCTTCAGCGGCTTTCGTTCTCGAGGTGTCGTCCTTATTTGTCTTCTGGGGGATTTTGAGCAACTCGTAGTGGAAATCAACCGAGTCGGCACAGGCCATGAAGATAATGGCCTTCATGGTGCGGCCACGGCGAGAAAACACCGATCGTAGATACGATATCAACGTGACGAGTCGTAACTTGGCGGGCACAATGATATGGCTTTGGTGTAGCTGTGCTGGAGCCTTGTGCGTGCCGTGGTTGTCAATCTGCTCGTCGTCCTTCTCTGCAGCCAGGAACGTTGCGTCCGCCAAACTCATCTCGCCCAGCTTCTGGACATTCATTTTCATCGTGGCCGAACAAAGAACTGTCACTCTTCGCTCAGGAAGGGCTTCCAACGATGCACCGTTGGGGGTTTCCTTCTCCACCTGCACTCGCTTCAATGCGTTGATCGCTGTCTTGAGGTCATCTTCAAAGCCCAGATCCATCAATCGATCGCCCTCGTCCAGAATCAGCCATCTCACCGTGCTGAGCGTCAGCGCCTTCGTATTGTCGATGTGATCAGCAAGACGTCCCGGTGTCGCTACGAGAAAATTCACGCCCTTTCGTATCCTCGCCTTCTCGGCCTTCTTGGACTCTCCGCCCGTGATCGCGGTGGACACGAGCCATGGAAACGGTCGAATGAGGGCCTCGAGAACTGTGTGTGTCTGTCTTGCCAGCTCGCGCGTCGGAGCAACGATGATGGCAAAAACTCCCGAGTCGCGGTGGATCTGCTTTCCATCTCCCTGCTTGCTGAGTTGAAGCACACGGTGCAGAATCGGGAGTAGGTACGCGAACGTCTTTCCAGAGCCAGTCTGCGCTTGCACAAAGGCGTCGCCGCTGCCCTCGAGAAGGTGTGGAACGACTTTGCTTTGAATGGCGGTCGGTCGTTGAAGCTCCATCTTGGACAGTTCGTCCACCAGCCGTGAGGCCAATGACAGCGTGCCGAAGCTAGCCACATCCGATAGAGGTGCATTCGTCGCTTCCGGCGCCTTCCATTCCTCTTGCTCCTCCTCGAAGACAGTCTTCTGTGCGGGATTGTGCGAGAACAGGCTAGAGATGACCTGGCGATCACCTTTGCCAGCATGGCCTCCTCCACCTTGCTTCTGCTCCTCCCCTGGGCGTGCGCCGCCCGGCCTTGCTCCGAAGGATCTTGACTTGAAAGGTCGCGAGGAGCCGGCGTCGTCGTCGACTCGCTGTCTCTTTGGCGCTCGCTCGGGGATCTCGACATCGTCGGTCGGTCCTTGCCCTCCGCCTCGTGCCGACTTCTCTGCCCGTTTCCTGTCGCGCCAACGGCCTCCAGTGAACTTTACTTGGCGCTTGAGTGGCTCGGCGCCAAGTTGGAAGTTGAGGACCATGCCATCGTCAGCCATTTTGAGGAATTGCGCGTCGATGTGACTGCTGGTGGTGGTGGGGCTGCGGTGAGTCCTGCGACGACGAAGAAAAAAAAAGTTGGCTGTATATCTTATCGCAATATAGATAAGACTTTTACCTACCCTATGCCTTGTCTTATGCCTTCGCTGTCACTGCACGGAGCTACTACTCGTACAATTACAACATCATTGTATCTTTGTGTTATCGCTACTCCATATGTTCAATGATTACTTTGTATCACTGTCAGCCGGATCACATTAGGCTAGTTAGGGTGAGAGTGGTGGGTTGAACTTCCGTGGTGTTACCTTAGTTGACAATTGTTTGACTGCCATCCCGCAAGTTTTCGACCATGATAATATACTCCAGAACAAGATCTCCTCATGGTGGTTATCGTCACCTCGTGAGCGATAGACATGATCATACAACCTGCTAATCGGATAACTAACAGTATGTGACTGCAATGAATCATGGTTTTCGCGGCCCACAGGCCCAGCAATGCATCACGATCTACCCACTGTGCCTGTCAACGTGTCACCTTCGGAGCCTAAGAGTAGGCTTTGCGGCTAGAGATCATTAGTGCGTGCCAGCGTAAGAAGCTAGAACATATGGAGTCGAGCAGGATGATCAGCACTTGCATGATTGCATCAACGAGACAACGCACGCCCGACATTGTTATCAATCAGTCACGAACTCGCAACTGTCGAAACGTCACGCCGCGCAAATCCCAACGGTCGTTATTCCCAATAGGAAAGCGGTCCGGAGCATTCTCGTGTAGATGATCACCTGCCCTCGCAACGCCGAGATGCTCGGAGCTGACCTCCTTGCCGGAGTGACTGTAGACACCGAGACCACGAATAGTCCGGGGCGGAGTTAATAAAAGTCAATCAGGATGCCAAAAAGCCCTCCCGCCCTATCTGGGAGTCGACCAACTGATGTGGACGCAACCCACATCAGCCTGATGATGGTTCCTTTGGCGGGACATTTTCGCAGAGCGTCAGCATGTGACACGCAGATGCAGCCACACGTGCAAGGTCTCGGCGGGGGGCCCATCTTGCCAAAGCGTGGCATGCCGATGCATGGATGTCCGGGCAGAGCAGGATGCGTCAATTGACAGATCGAGGATGTCACCTTGCGTACGGAGTATTATGGGGATTGAGCAGCCCTGGTACTCCATCCATTGTCGCGTGCTGATTGATGAGTTAAAATGCAGCGGCAGCGACTGGAGGCTGCTGGCACAAACGTAAGTTCGCAACACGACTTCCCGAAACATTCGCGTCGTGGAGTAAACTACTATCCACGACGCGCGAAACCTGACTTACTACACGAGCAGAAGAAATGCAACAGTATAAAAGTAATTAGCAGTTTGAACAAAATGTCCGATCATCTCCCCAGGGACCTGTGCAACCCCGCTGTTGCGTTTTCAATGAAACGCGCTGCAATCTTTGATTAGCATGTACTCCGTACTGCTATAAATTATCGTCAAGATGAAAATTCTGCGCCATGAAATTACCTAGAGATCCAATGTCATTGTGGTGACGAGATTGACTTGGACCATCTCAGAATAGGAGGGCTCTTGGGAGCGATCCGACAGGCTGGTGGACGTGGGGCCCGTGCAATTCCGAGTTTCCCCTAGACCCCACACCAGCTTCCACAGTCTGCCATGGAGGTCCGGCTTCCAATTCAAGCTCCAGCCTTCCAAGGGATTCCAGGGGCTGAGGCTGACAGAACGGTCACAGTCTCACAGACCTTGCCGGTTTTTTCCCTGGGACTCGGGAGACACCTACAAGTACGCCCCCTGGATCTGCATGCTCCCGTCCGCCCGCCCGCCCGTGGGAGAGGATCGCAGAGGAAGTTTCAGGCTGTCTTGTGCGTCGTGACTCGTCATGCAGTATGCATCGTAACAACTGCGATGCAGCCATTTCGCCCTGCTGCATGTGTCGCCTATTGGTCCGTCTACGGGGAAGTGAATGGTTGGAAGGAAAGGTGCTGGTCGATGTTGCTTCTGTTTAGCGCAAGGGGGCCTTCATATTCGAGCTGGATCGCGAGGAGAGCATGCTGTTGGCGTGGTGGCGATGAACGTGAGACGATGACGAGCACACTCTGCCGTAGGGCGAGTCCGTCAATATTACACTACCCAGGGGTTCGTGGGGTTGTGCCGTTGAGGCGACAAGATGTTTAGGACAATCGGACACGTACAGCTGTGAAGTGTGAACCGTGAAAATACCAGCGCCTTGGGACGATATGGACTCCAGTATGTGCCGAGTCCGGACTGGACTGGAGGAAATAGGGGGACCGGCCCCGTCTACGTAGCGCGTTTTGGGTCCCCCAGTCGGTGGAAGGCACTACCCGCGGGCCCAAGCCGGACCAGCCAGCAGGTATCATAACGGACATGGACTTGAGTCATTGCGTTAAACGAGTGCAGGACGCCGAAACTTGTCAACTAGCACCTCGGATTCGAAACGCTGCAAGTCTATTACAATGGACAGGTAGCGACAGCCAGAGAGCGAAAATAGCGGGTTTGTTCCTAAGTAGCAGCATAATTCCCGCGTTGTGAGTTTGTAGGGTGCGGGAGAGGCAGACAATGCCCAAGGGCCAATTGCACAAGTGTCAAAAAGCATGGTTCCAGCTACAGACTACAGACCCATCCAGCTGTGCCCACCCGCACCCATCGAGTCCATCCCCGTAGCGCAGCTCCACTGCAGACAGCCGGTGGTGATGCTTGCTTCGACTCAGGCGGCAGGCCTGAGGCGAAGAAATAGCCAACTGCCCCCCATTCGAGTCACACCTCCCATCCCGTCCAGTCCCCCTTCTAATCCATCATCCATCCGGCACCAGAAACAAAATCCTCACCACCACGATTCGAGGTCATTGCATACTAATAATTGGTTTTTCATTCTCTCTTCCCTCTCTTTCCTCACCACACCCATTATTTTAATCCTGGAACTGCGCGTTCGTTTGACTGCAGCCAGCGCTGTCAAATGAACCTGCAATCGACAACGGTCATTCCTCTTCCCGTAAGTACCGACTAGCCTCGCGCGATCTCGTCCCGGCCTTGTGTGCCTAACCGTCAGCAGCCCTCCTCCCCCAAGACTGATCTCTAAATGCCGGCATACTCGTCGCTGTACTCGAATTTTATCCGTTCAGGATCATCATTCGCAAAGTCCGCTACTGCACACGGCTACGCCCAGTCTGTTGTCGCGGCGACACATCCGCACCTCCTCAACTCACAGAACCGACCCGCCTTCACTCGGCGGCATACGAACCGCCTCGGTCGCCCATCGCTTCAGCTACACTCCTCTGCTTTCCACACCGAGAAGAACGCGCCCTCGCTTATCTTCAGCGACCACCGCCACGTTCAAAACCATGGAGGCCTAGACGGGTACTTCGAGAATCTACAACAGATTCAGGAGGCGACCGGAGAAGAAGTTGACAAGGAATGGACGCAATATGAGTTTCCCAAGCGCATCGAGTGGAAGCCTAGCTCCGACTCTGTCGCGCTCACCGGTGAGCAGGCAGTCGCAGCGGCTGCGGAGGCTGAGAATGCCGCCACACTCGCGCTCGCGCTCGAGTTGGAGCCCCGGCCGATGACCCCGGAAGAGCAAGCTGCTCTCGCTCACATCGATGCCGCCCTGCAGCGCGAGATCGAGTTCCGTGAACAGCTCGAAGCCGCCGAAAACGAGCCCCTGCCTCGATCCCGCACTGCGACACCCGGGTCGATTGCCCGCTCTTCCACCCCTGTCGACCCTCAATCACAGTCTTACGCCGATCATCTGTCGAAGCTCGCCAACGCTGGTCGATATGCCGAGATCCCCGCGGTTTTTGAGGCCATGTTGGAGATGGAAGTGCGGCCCATTGCGACAGCTTACAACGCTTTGCTGAAGGCCGCCATCCACCTTCCCACCAAGAACCTCGATGTCACGTCGAAGCCGCTTGACGTGTATGCTGACATGCTGAGAAGGCGAGTCACACCAGACGCGCAGACGTATGATATCCTGGTGGGTTTCTTGGCATCCCGCTCGCTGGATGTCTCCCAGTTGATAGCGACCCTGGAGGCAAAGCGTCATCGTTTTGGCGGCATGGAGGAGCCTGGCAAGTTCATGCTCGCCTCTCACGAGCTAGAGCACGCCTTTTTGTCTGAAGACGATCGCCTCGACTTTGCTATGAAGCTGTTCGACAGCTCTGTCGCCACGGATGCCGACATGTACTCGTCTGTCACGTACAAGAACATCATCAACGCCTGTGCGTCCGCTGGTCGCGTTGCCGACATGATCCGCTTGTTCGAGCACATGGAGAGCACGCACACAGTGCCACACGCAGAAGTCTTCCCGTCCATGATCAACGCTTTTGCTCAGTCCGGCGACCTGGTCAATGCCGTCGAGTGCTACAACGAGTATCGCGCCTTGGCCATCTCAAGCGACGCGGGTACTGATGCTCTTTTGGAGCGCCTGGATGCCGAGGTCTATGCTGCTGTCATCCATGCATACGTCGTGTCGGATAAGATTGAGGGAGCTATGAAATTCTTCCAAAAGCTGGTCCAAGAATATGGCGTTCGGGCCGTGGACATTAAGAACGTCTTGGTCAGCCAGGGGTTTGTCAAGGGCTTCATTGCCCGCGGCATCTTCGAAGAGGCGATTTACTGGACCCAGTCGATCGAGGCGACTTCCCGCACAAAGGCCTTGGCCGAGATTGTCGCCGTCACTGCTGACCAAGGCGATCACGTCGTCGCTACTGAGGCATACGCCTGCATTCCATCGGAAGCTGACCGTGTTGCGCCGTCAACCGCTATGCTTGCCATGAGCATTCGCAGTGGCGATGTTGTATCCGCTTCCAAGTACTGGAATGTCCTCCGCGAAGCACCGGCGGACGCTTCTCTCATCGACCCAACCGCCATGTACGCCGTCGCTATGATTGGGTCTGGCCAGGTTGTGGAGGGTCTTAGCGAAGCAGAGAAGATGTTTGGCAAGCTTCGCGCTGCTGACGCCCAACTTGTTGAGCCCCTTGACGAGGCACTCAAGTTCATCGGCCAGTATATGGCGGTGCGGGGCATCATCGATCCTCGCGAGGTACCGTCGCCTGTGTCAAGCCTTCAACAACAATCCATGACCAGCAGCTCCCCTTTCCTGTCTTCGGAGACGAGTGCCAGCTACGAGGACACTTTTGATCCTTATGCTCACAGCACCGACTTCAAGGGGTCTTCCCTCATTGCCGACGATCTCGAGGGAAGCCACGGCCGCAAGGGTCCTCGCATGTCTGATGCTCTGCATCGCTTCAAAAACATGCGTCGTGCGGGAAGGCACCCACGATACATCACCTACGCCAAGCTCATCACTGCTGCCGCTCGAGACGGCAAGATGGAGCTGTGCCAAGACATTCTTGCGATGGCTAGAGCTGATGTACCTTTGATGCCCCAGTATGCCGTTGTTCGCTATGGCTGGTCGTCGATCCTTGACGCCATGGTCGGTGCTTGCTTGAACCTAGGCAACCGAGGTCGTGCTGAGCAATACCACCAGGAGCTCCTCGACATGGGTGCTGCGCCCTCGGCCAACACCTTTGGGCTATATATCACAACGCTCAAGGAGTCGACCAAGACATTTGATGAGGCTTCTGAGGCTGTGCGTATCTTTCACCGTGCCAAAGCCGAGGGCGTCGAGGCCAGTTCCTTCCTCTACAATGCTCTGATCGGCAAGTTGGGCAAGGCTCGCCGCATTGACGATTGTCTCTTCTACTTTGCAGAGATGAGGTCACTAGGCGTCAAGCCCACCTCGGTCACTTATGGGACTGTTGTTAACGCCCTGTGTCGCGTGAGCGATGAAAAGTTTGCTGAAGAGCTGTTTGACGAGATGGAGGCCATGCCGAACTACAAGGCTCGCCCCGCGCCGTACAACAGTATGATGCAGTTTTTCCTCACCACCAAACGCGACAAGAGCAAGGTGTTGTCGTACTTTGACCGCATGCAAGCTCGCGGGATCGCACCCACATCGCACACCTACAAACTTCTTGTGGACACCTATGCGACACTGGAGCCTGTCGACATGGAGGCTGCCGAGGAGGTTCTGGCCAAGATCCGCGCTGCTGGCCAGCGTCCCGAGCCAGTGCACTTTGCATCTCTCATCCACGCTCGAGGTTGTGTTCTCCATGACATGCCTGGGGCCCGCAAGATGTTCGACTCCATCATCAGCGAGAAGCTCGTGCCCATGAACGCAAGCTTGTACCAAGCTCTTTTTGAGGCCATGGTCGCGAACCACAACGTGGCTGATACCGAGTCAGTTCTCGAGCACATGCGTAGCCAGCGCATCCAGATTACACCCTACATCGCCAACACGTTGATTCATGGATGGGCTGCCGCAAAGAACATTTCGAAGGCCCAGGCTATCTACGACGCTGTTGGCCGCGAGAAGCGTGAGCCTAGCACCTATGAGGCCATGACCAGGGCGTACCTTGCTGTGCACCAGCGTGACCAGGCCAAGGGAGTTGTTGGGGAGATGCTCACACGAGGCTACCCGAGCGCCGTGGTGAACAAAGTACTGGAACTGTTGGGCGGTGGCCACGAGGCTCCCCCGTCATAGTTGGTGCGAGTTCCGATTTGAGAAACGTTGGAGAGAGGGTGATGCGATGATTTTCTTTGTTCTGTTTGATACCCTGGGTTTACCTTTGCGACTACAAGATTTGGGCGCTAGTCTGCACCCTTTGCTTGCTATTTGGAATCATGTCTGCGAAAGCTGCAGATACTTGGCGTTTTCAGGAAATGGTCGTATTATAAAAAAAAGGGGGCTACGCCATGCGGTGGCCGGACCGGTGTTAAAAGGGGTTGACAGCCACGATTGTCTTAATGCATAGACACATCTCCACTCGGACAGGCACAGGAAAGCAATTGGGACGGGAACACGAGTCTATAATCGCAGCATGAAAGGGATTTACGAGAAGGACGGTCGGTTGTCTGTTATTAGAGCGTTGCTTCTTCTAGAATCCTGCTGCTTGTACTATACAGCTGAGGGGAATTGAGCTGGTTCTGTCTCATTTGGAACAATGTCTGTGGTGTGTGGTGTCGTGACTCATGATGCATCTAACAAAAGCAGCAATCTAGACAATATTTGATAATATCTTGAAGTCTCCGAGTTTGGGAGCACAACACAACGTCAGGAAATACACCGAAGATAAGTCACAGTGTGTATCCTCCCATCCAGAACACCTAGACACTGTCCGAGCCCCGCCGTCCATCGTGGGAAGCCTCATCGAGCCCCGCGGTGCTAGTACCGTGCTACCCGTGCTTGACATCTTTGTTTCGCTATCCTGCTCACAGTGTCTCGAACATGTCCGCTCAAAAGAACCCTACGGTAGCCGTCTCGGCTCCCGGCAAAGTCCTCCTCGCTGGCGGTTACCTTGTGCTGGACCGCCAACACACGGGCCTTGTTTTTGGCCTTAGTGCGCGCATCAACGTCATTGCTGGGGAGATACACACCAGCGAGGGGGTGCAATTGAACGAGATTATTGTGGACAGTCCTCAATTCGAGGGAGCACAATGGCGATATGGCTACCATCGAGCACCTGAGGGGGGAGGCATCCAGGTGGTGCAATTACAAGTGTGCGTTCTTCCATGACCGTGGAACGACGATTCAAGAGAAGAGAGAAGAGACAAGCTGACACCGCTCCAGCGGCGAGGAATTGAACAAAAACCCCTTTGTGGAAACAACACTCAGCTACGTGTTGAGCTACGTCGACCACCTGTACGCGACGCGGGGTTCGTCGTCTTCGTCGTCGTCTTGGCTCAAACCAGCCAGGCTCATCATCCTGGCCGACAACGATTACTACTCCACGCCTGGCGACAAGCAAACTGCGCCCAACGCGCGCTTTGCCAACTTTGGCGTGCCTCTGGCCTCGGCGAACAAGACTGGCCTGGGCTCCTCGGCCGCGCTGGTTACAGCGCTGACGGCGAGCCTGCTGGCCCACTACCTACCCAAGGAGATGTATGCCCTGTCCAGCGAGGGTGGCCCCGACGATGACAATGTAGTCAACGCAATGTTCCATCAGCTCATGATAAAGCGTGGTTGGCACAACCTACCAGAGGCGGCGAGGCGGCAGATGGACGCCTACCCCCCACAGAAGAAATGGACGTTGCTTCACCAGGACAGCAAGGAGATCCTGCACAATCTGGCCCAAGCAGCGCACTGTGCAGCCCAGGGTAAGGTCGGTTCCGGATTCGACGTCGCCGCCGCCGTCTTTGGCTCGTGCCTGTACAGGCGGTTCTCGCCCTCCGTCCTCGACGCCCTCCCAGAGCCCGGCACACCCGCTTTTGCGAGCGATCTTGGCCGCGTGGTGGACGGCACGGCCTGGGACGTGGAGGTGTCGAAAAAGGTGGACATGCCACAAGGTCTCGCGCTGCGCATGTGTGACGTGGACTGTGGCAGTCAGACGGTGGGCATGGTGAAGAAGGTGCTCGCGTGGCGGGAGCAGGAAGCGCAGGTGGCGGGCGATATCTGGGGGGAGCTGCAGGCGTACAATGACGGTCTCGCGTCGGTGCTGAACGAGAACCGGACGGAGGATCTCACCATGTCGTTGGAGATGATCCGCGGGAAGATTCGCGAGATGAGTGGACTAAGCGGTGTGCCCATCGAACCAGAGAGCCAGACGAAGCTGTTGGACGCCTTGACAGAGTTGGACGGTGTGTTTGGGGGCGTTGTCCCTGGTGCGGGTGGCTTTGATGCGTTAGCATTGTTGATGAGGGATGACGAGGAGACAAAGACACGCGTGATGGGTTGTCTGGCGGAGTGGAGTAAGGAGAAAGACGAAAAGGTCAAGCTCATGGACGTCAGGGGTGAGATGGAAGGCGTGCGAATGGAGGAGCTGGATATTTACAAAGGATGGTTGTAAGTCATGCTTGTACTCCGGATGGCGATAACAAAAAGTATTATTGAGTCCAATGGACCTCTGTCTCTTAACCCATTACCCCAAACACCAAATGCATATATTTCCCAGACTCACGAAACACCCACCGAAGCGGTGGGCTCGGCAATATCTATCAATAATTCACAGTTGAAGTGGAGGTGGTGCTCGGGATCCTCGCCATGCCGGGTTTGGCAAGTGACAGCGTTGAAGGGCTCCTCGGGGGCATCATTTCAGCAACCCCAATACAGCTCGCGGCCGCCTTCTCTCGGAGCATGACCAGTCTGTACATGATGTTAGCACGCCGTGGACTAGTTGTTACCCTGGTGACAGGATCAATGGATTGCTTACTCGTCGTGGGAGATGCCAGGGAGACTGACTGGCTCGCGTTGAAAGTTGAAGGGGGCCGACTGTTGATTGGTATGTTAGTTGATTCGCAACCATGGCAACAGTGTCAGAAGTAGGGGACTCACGATCTCGAGGGTGGGTTTTTGGCTGTCTTTGCTGCCGCTGCGGCGGCGGCTGAGGATGGTCTGAACACGCGAGTAGAACATGGTGATGATATTGTTGTTCTTGTATTGCATCATCCAGTGAAAAAGAAGTGGATGAAAGTTGCTGGACCTTGATAGAGAGAGTTCAAGCCAGGAGCATTCCAATAAAAGAGATAGAGCGATGGTAGGGTCCAGTTAGGAGTTGGCGTAGCAAAGATGAAAAATGGAGAAGTAAAGCGAGAGAGTCTCCGGATTCGGTGTGCGTCTGGGAGTACGTCGTCGTAGACGTTGTTGTTGTTGTAGTTGATCTTGTATAGAGAGTGGAACGCAATGACCTTGGACGTTTGGTCGTGTTGCTGGTTGTGGTTGTGGTTGTGGTCACAAAGAGAGTGAGTGACTGGCGACTGGACTGTGGATGCTTCAATTCCAGAGAGTGCTGAGCAAGAGAAGATCAAAACAAACAAACGAACGACGCGCCCACTTCTTATAAAGATGAAGAGCCCTGACCATGGGCTTCAATGAACGATTGCAGCATTCCGGTTCTGGCACGAGTCCAGAGACGGTTGCACGACGCAGGCCGCAGACAGGCACCGGCTGAGGCGTGAGAACGACTTCATGTAGGAATGTTGTTTGGAAAGGGTAGGAAAGTGGAATGGAATGGATTGCAGCATTCCTGTGGTCCCTGTCTCTCCTTGCTTCCCAGTCTGCAGTGGCTGCATGCAGTATAAGGTGGTGGCTCGCCTCCCTTGCGTCGTGACGACCTTGTCTCATCTCCTGGCGAGACACGCCACCGTGCGACCTCATTGATGAAGAGTCAATTCACGCCGAAGACTATCATTCAGTAGCATTTTCATGCAATCCATCTCTGCTTTCATCAGTGGGTGCGTGAATTGTCCGATTCCATGATGGTGGTGGTGGTGGTTGCGGGCGATTCGTCCAAGGTAGCGAGGTTGCTTCCCTCGTTTTCCTCGAAGCTGCTCCATTCACACGAGTCACGGTAAGAATGAGCTTCGTCTGATTTTCACAATTCAGGGCGAGAGCCGATACTTTATTCTGGATCCGGTTTGGATCCTGCCTGTGACCTGCATGTTGCCGCCTGAGCAGCCTATTTCGGGTAGTCCTTGATATGGAAGCTCTTGCTCTTAACAAACTGTTCAAACCCGAAACGTCCAAGCGTCTGTCCCTTGCCAGAGTTCTTGTAACCTGTCCAGGCGAGATCCTGTGCGTCCATGTTAGCCTTATTGACGGCATCGCTGCATAGCGTCTGTGCTTTATACGTACCGGGCTTGGATAGTCACAGCGGTTGACAAAGACAGTGCCTGCCTCAATGCTCTCGATGAGCTCAGCCGCCTTGGCCGTGTCCTTGGTCCATACGCTGGCTGTGAGACCAAACTCACTGTCGTTCATCAGGCGGACAGCTTCGTCGTCGCTCTTGACCTTCATGACGGGGATCACGGGACCAAATGTCTCCTCCATCATCACCCTCATGCTGTGGTTCACGTTGGTGAGAAGCGTGGGTTTCACAAAGTTACCCTTTGAGGGCGGGTTGCTGAAGCTCTCATTCTCCGGCGTGGCGTCTTGGGCACCCTGGTCCAAAGCGTCCTTGATGTGTGCCTCAATCGCCTCCTTGGATCGTGTAGAGATGACCGGCCCAACGTGGGTGCCCTTGTCAAAGGGGTCGCCTAGCTTGTAGCCCTTGAGCACTTTCTGAACAGCCTCCACGAACTGATCGTGGATCTTCTCATCGACATAGATGCGCTCGAGGGAGCAGCAGCTCTGACCCGAGTTGAAGATGGCACCGTCGACAATCTCCTCAGCCGCCCAATCCACATCTACATCGGCACGAATATAGGCAGGGTCCTTGCCACCCAGCTCCAGGCCAACAGAGACGATACGATCGGCCGCAGCCTTTTGAACAGCCAGACCGCCTGCCACAGATCCGGTAAAACACACGAGGGCGATCTTGGGATCACGCACAATGGCTTCCATGGTCGTTGGCGACCCGCAGTGGAAGTACTGAAGCACGCCCTGCGGAAGGCCCGCCTCGGTGAAGAACTGCGACACCCTCTCTGCGATGGTGGGCGTCTGCGGGGAAGGCTTGATGATAACGGTGTTTCCTGACAAGATGGCCGGAATCAGGGAGTTGACGAGGATGAGGTATGGGTACTGCGAGACATGAGGCCACGTTCAAGTGGAGGCGCCGGGGGGGGGGGGGGGGGGGGGGGTTTGTGTGATAAAATTCCAGACCAAAAAAAAGCGTTAAAGACCCAAGGGCCCCGTTCGCATGAAAAGCTTTTA